ACCCATAGCTGCAGGCGAAGAGGGTCGGAATGCCACATCCAGCCTTGTAACTGAAACAGGAGATCCTTCCTGTCGGGGGAGGTGCCATGGCGAGCTGCGGCAGAGCCTGTGCAACAGTGGGAACCACGTCCTCCCTGGCCAGAAGGGGGCCACCAACAGCAGCCTGTGACCCTGATGGAGGACCCTCTGTAGCGTCTGAAAGATAAGAGGGATTAGTGGAAACGTATAGAGGAGACTGTCCGGCCAGTTGTGGGCGAGAGCATCCTGACTCAGCGGTCTGCTCTCCTCTATCTGGGAGAACCAGAGAGGGGAATTGAGTCGACTCTTGTGTGGCAAAGAGATCAACCTCTGCCCTGCCGAAGATTTCCCAGATGTTGAGAACCACCTCCAAATGAAGCCACCACTCCACCGGTGGAGGCTCGCAACGGGAGAGGAAGTCAGCTGCCTGGTTTCGTTCCCTGGGCAAATAAATTGCTCTCAGGCTGGTCAGGTGTGGGGCTGCCCATAACAAGAGGTCCTGGGATGCCTGCAACAGCTGTGCAGACCTGGTGCCCCCCTGGTGGTTTATGTGAGAGATGGTTGAGACATTGTCTGACTGTACAAGTACATGCTGGCCTCTCAGGAAAGGCAGAAAAAACTGTAGAGCTCTGTGCACGGCCCGCAGCTCCGGCACATTGATTTGTACTGAGCGGTCTTGAGTGGGCCACAGCCCTCGAGCTGTCCGGTTCTGCCACACAGCACACCAACCCGAGAGGGAGGCATCCGCTGTGATGGTCTCTCATCGGGATGCAGTGGAACCCATGGGTATGCCGCGAAGGAGAAATGATCTCTCTCTCCATGGAGCCAGAGCAAGGAGGCAGCGATTTGACACCTGGAGTCTCCTGTGTTGGTGCCACTTTGCATCCAAATAAAAGTTGTTCAGCAACCTTTAAAGGGGACATAGTGACAGCAGCCCTAAAGGAACCATGGTGGCGGCAGCCGTCAGTTTCCCTAGAAGGCGTAAAAACACCACATAGTGCATCCATCTTCCTTCCCCGACAGAGGAGGAGGAAGTGGAAGATGTTGTCCACCCTCTTTGTGAGATTCACCCTGAAACCCAGTCTGGCCACAAGAGAGAAGATGTATCGTGTCCTGTGCCACCTGAGACTGGGATGGCGCACAGATAAGCCAGTCCTCCAGATAGGGCAGGATCTTCGTGCCCCGTGACTGCAGGGGCGAGAGGGCTGCCATAACACATCTGGTAAACACCTGTGGGGAAAGAGACAGGCCGAATGGGAGCACCCCAACCTGGAAGTGACGCCCTTGAAAAGCGAACTGCAGAAACTGTCTGTGGTGCTATGGGGACATGAAATAGGCATCTTTTAGGTCTATTGATGTAAACCACTCCCCCCTGGCTACAGTGCACAGTACCTCTGCAGTGCTGAGCCTATGGAACCTCAGGACCTTCAGGAATCTGTTGAGACCCTTTAAGTTGAGGATGGGGCGTAGTCCGCCATCTTGCTTTGCAACCAGAAAGTAAGTCGAGTAGAACCCCCTGAGTTGCAACAGGGGTTCTACTGGTTTGATGGCACCCTTGTCCGGGAGGATGGACAACTCCTTGCTGAGGGCTTTTGCCTGGTCATGTATGATTGTCATCTTGACCCGGCCACAGGTTGGGGAACGGTGTTGGAACTAAAGTTTGTACCCATGGGTCAAGGTGGAAAGCACCCAAGGGTCCCTGTCAGAAGCAGCCCAATAGTTGAGCTGCTGCTGGGAAAAACCCCTGGGCCTCAGCATTGGGTCCCCCGGCCTCAAGAGGCTCAAAGGGGATGATCGGCAGCGTGTGACACCTAAGGTCGCTCAGAGGCCAGTTGCCCTGGGCCCTGAAAGTCCTGTGCCTACTGCTGAGTAGGCTGTGGATGTAGGTGCTGAGGTCTGAGGTAGCCACTGGGATAGGCCTGCAGATGAGAGCAATGCTGGGGGGCAGCGGAAGAACCCCTAGGCCTGCTGGAAGGAGGCGCACTCCTCTGAAGACCTTACAGCTGATGTTTTGTCTGTCTGGGTTGGACTGTGCACTCAAGAGCATCTAGAGCCGCAGAGCCGAAAAGCTCTCCAGGTTCCACTGGAACGCTGTGGGGGGGTTCTCCTGCATGCCGCTGTGAGAGGAAATTGTGCCAGCCAAACCTGGCGGCGAACTTGAATGAGTGTGGACATCAGCTGCCCAAGTTCTCTAGACATCAGCGCGAATGCTTGTAATGAAGCGTCACTGAAGTTGTGGATGGAAGGATCCACGGTAGCCTCCTGCAGGGATGCTGATAGCGCGAGCAGCAGGTGGGACATAGAATTACCCATGTGTCCCATTCGCGCTGCTGCATCATAAGCTCTGGAGAGCAGGTCGCCTGGGAACGAGGACACCTAGCATCTAGTCTCAGAGCTTCATCAGGGGAGACCATTAGAGCATCTATCGTCAGCTAAATTGCAGACATGCGACCCAATCCAAACTTGGGTGCATCCTGCATCATGCAGGCATCGTCTGAAAGAGCCCCCTTCAGATATTCAAGGCCAAAGCATGAGGGACACAAATCATGGCCATCTTCAAGCTGCAGAGAAGCCATACAGGCCAAGCAAGAATGGTTGCAAAACATATTGACAACCAGTAAATTAAACACAACCTTAACCAAGTAAATCACCTCTTTGCTCGGAGCAGGAACGAGAGCACTTCCTTCACCAGTCAAGGGTATTTGCCACACAACACGAAACGGGCACAACCGTGTTGGCACCACAATATACAAACTAAGTAGGCAAGCGTAAACGTTGGTAAATGTCCGACAAAAAAAGAAAGTAACCAAACCTAAGCTGGGAACGGGAGCGCACTCTGCTGTCACCAACAAAGTACAACTCAAAGGCTAACCGCTAATGCGTATGAATGAGTTGATCCGGGAGAGGTAGCAGAAACGCTACTGTCACCACCAAATGAAAGTACAATTTAGAGTGAGTTCAACAGGTTGTACTGATAACAGCTGCAAGCACCCGTGATGCCAGCTCATCCAAAAAACATTAGCGGTACAAATGCTGGGAGAGGGAGCGAAGTCACCTCCTTCACCGAAAATTGAAAATACAGCACAACATTTGCGTGATGCCCAAATGCTGGGAAAGGAAGCAAGGTCACTGTCTTCACCAACAATTGACAATATAACGCAATATCCGCGGTAGGGGAAGCAAGGTCACTGTCTTCACCAAAAATTGCAAACATAAACTACAACCGAAAGCGAATACAATTAGTTGCACAGAAGAATATGCTTATTTGCAATAAGAGAAATTAAACTTATCCCACCAAGGGCGATGAGCCGAAGCAGAAGTGTCCATGGCAAACCACAAACCTCTCAGCGGATTCTGTTGCAGCGAGCAGCTGGGGTGGCGAGCAGCTAGCAGCTCAAGTTGTCACAAAGCTACCAGCAACGAGGGAAAATAATAGTCACTTGGCTTGAGCTAGCGAGGTGACGGGCAGTTTACCTGCGAACCGAGAAGATGAAAAGGAACAGATCCTCTGATGTCACCAGAAAATATAGACTAACCGGGTCATCAGGGGTCACACGTGACATTGTTGGTATAAACACTCGACCTGTGCATGCGCGAGATGGATTCATTCAGTGCTTAAAGCACCGCCTCTGGTGGTCAGTAAGGATGAAATAGAAATAAACATTTACATTTAAACATGTCGGAGTGAAGCAGCCTCTTCTTCTTTCTCTCTGTTTCATCCGTCTGAGGGCAGAGTGATGCTGAGCTGCACAGACCTGACTGGCTGCAGTCATGCTGTGATTAATGCAGATGAATAAGAGCTGACCCCAGAGCAGTGTGTCACAGCTGACAGAGTCGGTGTTTAGTCACAGTCGGAGCTGCTTCATGTTCATTACTGTCCAAAGTCTTAAGCCTCCACAATCAGAGCTTTCTGGGAAGTTCCTCTGCTTTACAGGAAGTTTCATGTTTCAGTTTTTCTTCCAGTCAATGATGAAAAATGGATGTCACACTGTTTTTATTTCTTACCCTCTGTGGGTTTTGAAACAAACTGCTGAGGGTTTTAACTCTGAAGGCTTTGACTGTATATCACTGAAAACACCGTCACATGGAGGCACAGCTGATGTCAAACATCATTCCTGCTTGATTTGAGCTTCATTCGGTGAAATAACGGCAGAACGTTCATGGCGGTCAGACACGGCATGTGTTAAAGTCAGCTCTCAGAGGCTGTCTGGGACGTTAAAGTCACCACAAAGTACAAAATGTGACAACTAGCCAGAAATTTGAAGCTGAAGAAAATCTGATCTACCTTTATAAACCGTGAGAGTTACTTCACATAATTTTAGGGTCCTGCAAGAATAATCGACATGCAACAGCCATGTCCAATCAAAATCAGAGAGAGGCAGCATGCAAACAGGAGCAGGACAAGATCAGATATGTAGGAACAGAGCTCCAGATTCACTCGCATCAGACCCCCAACCCTGCATGTTCAGGGCGTGGTCTTACTGAATATACTGTATGTGTTAGGTTCTTTATTTTACATGAGGATGACCTGACATTTACACACGAGGAGCTTTGATTAAGCATGTAACTACGGTTCCAAGAAGATTAAAATTTGATTTTTATTTGTGTGTGTATCATCAACTCAAACTTCACAAGAGGGTAAATATTTTGTTAATTAGATGCACTTTTAGTTTTATTTGTAAGAAAAATAAAATTTTCTTTTAAAAAAAATGAAACTAAACCTTCATCTGGACACATTTGCAGATCCTGCAGACTTGTGGCTGAATATTTCAGATTTTCATGATTAGACTGAAGATCTGGTTCCAAATAGGAGAGGAGAGACGTGAGAAAAGGAACCATGGACTGTTGTCTCCTGTTATCATGTTTTATTACGGCAGAAAAGCTGCAAACTCAAGCTGAACTTTTTGTGTTTTTCAGTCGCATTTTAAACTCTCAGAAAGAAAAAAAAAAACTTAAAAGTCGTTTCACTTTTTTTCTTTCAGATGTTCACAGGTCTCCTGAAGCACACACCTCCTCCAGCCTCCTCTGCAGCATCCTCCACCTCCTCTGCCTCCTCCGCCTTGGACCAAAACAGCAACGCACAAACTACAGTTCCCACAATCCCACGGGGTCACCTGGTCGTGGGCCCAAAGGACCAACTCCGCCTCCTCACCCCTGTGGGCAGTACGGCGACGTCCAATCACTGCACGGTGTCCAGGGCCCACACTGCCAGGCTCTCGGGGGGAGGAGGAGCCCCCAGACCTCCCTCCTCCCTGAGCGAGGAGGACGATGGAGGAGGAGGAGGAGGAGGAGGAGGAAGGGCGAAGAAGAAACGGAGGAAAAAGGACAAGAGAGAGCGGGAGAAAGGAGGAGTGGAAGCGGTGGAGAGAGAGAGGGAGAGCAGCAAACCAAAGAAAAGGAAAGAGGCGAAGGTGGCCACGGTGGTCTCAATGAGGAGGAGCAAGGAGCCTAAGGAAGGGAAAGAAAGGAAGGAGAGAAGGACAAAAGGGAAGGAGGGGAGGAAGGAGAGCAGGACAGAGCAGAAGAATGTGACAGGGGGGAAAGGTGGAGGACAGGTGGTGCCTCCTCAGGCGCCTGTGAAGGTACCTGGGAAACGAGGCAGGAAACCTAAAATCAAAGTCCTTCCTCCTCTACCTGCGAATCAAGGTACACACTCACACACACACACACACACACACACACACACACACACACACACACACACACACACTTAGGGGTCTGATGTTGTGGATATAGGTGATGATTTCTAAGTGTTGGTGTGTTTTTGTCTCCTCAGGTGGAGTTTTCAGGTCTCACAGTAATCGTCCGTCCCCCTTTCTTATTCTTAAGGTCCTTACACACCGGGACCGTTTTTGTCTTGCGATCATTTCGGACGTCAGTATTTTTTTCTGAACCTGTATCCTGTCAATACAAGCGTTCACATCAGCGACATTTTCCCATTCTGCGACATTGTGGCATTTATTTTTTCAGATCATGGTCGGTTTTTCTCAATTTTTGTAGACTGTGTGTCCACTTCTGACCAATCAGATTGAATGTTGTTGCGACGTCAGATTCACCGGTATATCCAACATATCCGACTGGCTGATTGTTTACGTGTCAGAGAACAGAGTGCATTTTGATAAAAGACACAAATATTACAAAGATAACAACCTGAAGGACAACTTGTGGAGAGTCGTAGCATCGAATTTCTCATATGACGATGGTTTGTGTGCTTTAACAGTTTGCTAAACGTCTTTGTTTTAACTTTCATCTGTGCTAACGTAAGGTAACAGTTGTTACCATAGCTTAATGTGCTTATCTGGTACCGGCCGCGACTCAGTACATGCTATCATGACAGGCAGCCATCTCAACACTAGTGTCTAATCAGAACTGAAAACAATCAGCGACCGTGGTACAGTTTCAGCTCCTGAACCAAGCAGTGAAACTCACCAAGTTCTCTTCTTTTTTGTAATATCGGATGCACCCATGTGCTACGTTTCTTTTTCTTTTGAGAGGGCAAAAGGAGTACCAATTCGCCATCACTTCAGTCAGAGGCGAAGGAGGTGGGACTTTCTCCCGGAAAAGTCTTCTCCGGGATGCGTCTTTTTCCCCCCGGCAAGTCGCGAAATTGTATCGGGCTTGATGTGCACAGTCAGGCGCGTCAAAATTGGCCTCCGAATATTCCGTGATTTCGCATTCTACATTCGTGTCGGCCCCGGTGTGTAAAGACCTTCATTCTGACATTTATATGAATCTGAAGACCTCTGCCTAAGAGTCTGAGAGTCTGAGAGCACCTGAAGGCTCATGTGATAATAAAACGTCTGAAATGTGTCGGGGAGAAGGAAAGGCTGTGGAGTGCTGGGGGTCAGAACAAAGAGGCTCAAACAGGATCAGAGTGATCATGTTGCATTAGGATGTAAGACTGAAGACATCAAATCACTTATTCAAACCAAACCTGTCATAAGTTTCTCAAAAGTCCAGAAAAACGTCTTATTTTAGATATTATAGGTCCAAAACCCCAACTGAATTACTTGTAAAAAATCAGCCAATGGGATTCACCCGTTGACTTCCTCCTCCCTTTTCTTCCTCCAGCACCTCCTCATCCTCCCTCTACCCCAGGTCTCCCCCCCAAAGTCCAAGTTCAGATCCACTCAAAGAATCATGGCCCGGCAAACAGCAAGACTCCGGGTCCGTTGGCGCCGAGACAGAGGGGCCGCAAACCCAGGTGAGATATTTATATAATATTCACAAGGAGGGACGAGTTTGAGATTAAGGACAGAGAGAAACCCTGAAGTGGACACTGATGAAGTTAGGAGAGTCAGAGGAAGCTGAGTAGCAGTAAAGCTGTCATCCTCTTTAAATTACACACTTCTTCTCTGAGCTGCTCTGTAACACAGATTTTATTCTCAGGCTGTATTTTTGTTTTATTAGAGATGATGAAAAGATAGTAGTGTAGCTTTATTTGTGCAGGGACAACATCTGAGCTCTTCAGAGGAGGGATGAAAATGTTGTGTAATGTTGGACCAGTGCAGGAATAAATAGGCACTTAAATATCTGCAGGCTGGACTGATAAGGAAGAAACAAACACATGAAACTTTCTAAAGAGTCTGTAGACAGAGAGGAGTTAGTGTTTTTCTCTTTTGCACAGCTGCAGAGTGCAAACACAAACTTTGTGCATAAGTTTAAATGACCTTTATCACACTGTTATAATAACAATAGACAGCCAAGGCTCTCTGTTTGGATGCACATAACCTCTCACTCATCACGCTTTGAATCAGGATCCAAAATACGGCTCTGAAAAGAAACGTCTGCAGCTGAACTGTGCACAGGAGAATCTGTTGAGTTTTTTAAACTTTAACACTCTCTGCAGACTTAGATTTAATAATTCTGATGCTACTGCAAGGATGAAACACAAAGCAGATAGTATCCAGGCTCCTTTTTCACTCTGGGATCTGATGCCCGGTTGTGTAAGAACTTCATTTCTATTTTAGCGTGCAGGTTAAGTTTTTACTGTCTGTTTTTACAGCAGATCAGACTCAAACTGTTGTTAGTGAATAAAATCACATGAAAGCTTTTTTGGTGAACATTTTAAACTCAGATTATTGTATCATCCACCTTACAGCTTGAACCAAACCTGGATGTTTTGTTTCAGTGTGACTCTTTAAGGCTCCAGTTCTTGTGTGCGAGAAACCCTGGTGGGATTCTAAAAGACACACACTCTGTCGTCTGTATAAGGATCTGTCTTCTGCACAAATCCTCTGTCACTCCTTGTCTGTCTGCGCCTGAACCTTTGAATATTGTCGTCCTCTCATACACTGGCTCTGTGTTTTCATTTCTTTATTTTTCTGTCAGCTGAGAGCAAAAACAGAAAAAAGCAGTAATCACTCTTTTCTGTGTTTTAATCTCACGTTTTCATCCTGCAGACAAAGAGTGTAACTGTTGGAAATGTCCTCTTTAAACGCAGATATATGGATAAGAGCTTTAGACAATAATCTCAGGGTCTGTATGGAGAGCAAAAGCAGGAGGAGCACAGTCCACTGTAGGGGTGGGTGATAAGGAAAAAAATTAATATCATGATTTTTTTTTTTTTTTTTTCAAAATCACGTTCACAATTTTAGTTAGTCTTATAGTCTCATTAATAATAAATAATAAAACTCACTCGAAACTAATTTACAAAACACAGCAGATATAGAGCATTGTCTTTTCTTACTCTCTCTTTTTTGGCTGGTAATTTTTTTTATTTTTTGTTCACAACTAAACAGTTTAAAAATCTCCTCTTTCTTCACTCCTCTCTATCTTCCTCTTCACTCCATTGTTATATTGAACGTTACATGTTTTTGTTGTTGTTTTTGTTAATTATCAATTATCTCACCAGTCACAAAGAATTCAGCAAAGCTCCCCTGCTTCTTTTACACCTTACTGCTCTGTGCTAAAACCTGACACCCATAGTCTGGCTACATCCTGGCTCATTTGCATACTAAACAATGATTGAATGTTTACTGACTGAGGGGGAGTGGTGTGTGTGTGAGTCAGCCTGAGAAGATGTACACGCAGCAGAGCGAAGGGAAAGAGGAAGTGAATTCTGTATCTTGTCCTTTTTTTGGCAGATTTTTCAGCCACTGAAGTTACCTTTATCAACGAGTAACACATTAATCCTGTGGGTATATTAAAATGTGCTCTCTTAACTTCTAAAATTTTGATTTGAGAGGGCAGGAAATTTATTTAGACACATGTTAGGGACACAATGTGCACTACAGATGGTTCTAGGATCTCTGTGCTTTGGCATATTGTTGTCACTCTTTAACCCTTCACAATCTTTTCTCTATAAACACATATTTACATGCAGGTCAGTCTGGTCTAGATCAGACATTTACGCTGAGATGGAGCGAGTAACTAAAGCCGATCAGCGTCAGGACTTCATTGAATGCATCAGAAATAATGGATCTGATCTCCAGTCAAAAAACATTTTAAAAGCCTTTGTTTCCTGACAATGATCGACTTTTTACTTTGTTATCCAAGCAAACTTCAAAAGAAGTCAGTTTTGTTTTCAGGTAAACCAGCTGAAGAAAATAAAGAGAGAAAAAAGCAAGGCTATGATATGAGGACAATGGCAGAGATTTTTGGAGGGAAAGGAAGTAAAAAAAAAAGAGGGATGAGTTTGGATTGAAAAAGCAGAGGTGGAGAGATGCAGAGGGGCTGATAGAACAGATGGAGAGGGGTGGCTGGGAAGGTAAAAATAGAGAGAAAGCGACTCCGGTTCAGTCCCAGGTCAGGTTCAGTATCAGGTCATGGTTTGTTCAGATTACAGCCGACAGAGGCAGATAAAAAGTTCTCATGTGGAACTGTTTGAGATCAGCATCAGTCTGTTTCTTTGTCTTTTCTCTCCTTTCTCTCACTTTGTTGGAGTTTCAGACCCAGTGATGGAAACGATTAAACTGGAGGAAAGGCTGAAGTTGACCACGTGCCCAAAAAGAAACTTACTTGAATATTAAAAATAACACAAACTTTAGAATTGACTCTTAACTTTGATTTTATAGCTCAGGGTGACGTATAGAAACAGAAATACTGAGAGTGATTTCGTGATTCAGACTCACAGAAAAAGTTTTTTTCTCTGATGTGAATTAGAGACTTCAGACTCATGAACCAGTTCAAACAGGGGTCAGACAGAGTTCAGCAAAGTGACTCATCTGCAGCCGTCTGGCTTTGAGGAGGAAAATGAACTCGAACAAACACAGAGAAGAGAGTCTGAGCGCACGTTTTATTTCAGCTCAGATGTAGCTCCTCCTCCATCTGTGGTGAAACCAGATTAACTAACACAAAATACAAGTGTTCAGATCATGTCTAAGTATTCCTAATCAGATCTCTAAAGCTCGATGAAGATAATGTTTTCAGATTGCTGTTGTTTTCCACAGAACTTCTGATCATTATTTTCCACTTAACAGCAATCAATTCAGATCTCAGTGATTTGATCAAACCCTCCGAATAGGCTGTATTGGCTGAGCGAGATCGTGTTGGTTCGTTCCACTTCAGTGGGTCAACATAAACTGTGATTCATAAAATTGCTCTATTGATAGTAAGTACTAAAAAAAATATCTATTCATGCCATCCTGTCGATTTTTAGTAATCAGTGTTTCGGTGTCGAACTATTTCCTTTCTGTGGCGTATTGATACTTGCACACGTGCAATCGAATATGCATAGGGGTGAAGCGATTTTTGTCACGTGGACCAATAGGAGCCGAGTCTCGTTGCCATAGTATCAGAAATACACAAACATGGCGACGAGCGCATCTAGCAGCGAGACAAGCGAAGAGGAAGAAAAGAAAAGGAAAAAAGAAAACAGCCTTCAAAAGTGCATAAAAAAGGAACAAAACGATGCTATATGCATCTATCATCTGTCCAGAGTGAAGACATTCTCGACTTTACAAGGACACGTTGGGAAACTTACAGAACTAGTATTAGAAAGTCGCTTTCTCTACAGGGTGAGACAAAGGACCTTGCAGAAACTTGTAAACATTGCGTTGATATCGAGTTTGACAATGTTCCTGATGATGCTGGGTTTCACATGATATGCTACCAGCGATTTATTTGCAAAAGGTGTTTGAGAAACAAGAACGTGATGCAGCCACGGGTCAGTCAAACCCTTTAGGCAGCATCGCCGATGCATCCACGTCCACGGCATCTGAAACTCCGTGAAAGAAACTTCGCTCAAGGTCATAGGCTGTATTGGGACAAAGGAAAAAGTGCCTAGAAAGTGAATTTCGTTCCACTACGCTGGTGCTACTTGTTCAATGCATTTTTGCATAGACAATACCATTCTGGACTTTGGGTTAAAATATCTACTCAGACTATCTGTCCGACTTTTGTCACCAGCCAGAAATGTACATATATGTGAGTAACCCAAAAAACAATGATATGGTGCTGCTGTTTTTTCTTATAGAAACTGCTATGTTGATTCTGGCAAGACAAAATCTTTCTCAAATGTCATAAATAAATCTTCCTAACATCTGAAACAGTTATTGGTGCCTTAGTATACGCATAAATGAATTCAGATTATGAAATGTAGCAAATTTCTTGAAGAAAATGTCTCAACTCAAGTGATTTGCACCCAGCACAATGAAATATATACAGTAAATTTAGCTAAAAGCTTATGTTTCATACATAAAAATGACACAACCTACTGTGTAATAAAAGCAATAAAATATAAACAGCACATCATGGCCATAAATGGCTGAAAGTCAATCAAATTGCTACCACGCCCCCCAAAATTGAAATAATGGAAAAAATGTAACAAGACAAAAATAAATGCACAAAAGATCTGAATTAATTCAAAATATGGTATAAAACATTTATTCAAGTATCACAGTGTCAAAACATCTGACATTTATCAATCCCTCTAGAATATGAAAATAAAGATCAAAACACAAACGCAGACAAATGTAGAACAAATATAAAAGTAATAAAAATCTCAAATCTCGGTGTAGCAATCCTTTACACAAAACAAATTGTATATGGTGACAGGGTGCGTATATTACACATCACTATCACTTTCATCAGAGTCATCATCCCATACAGCCCTTCTTCTGTTTCCTTTGAAGCATTCTCACATGCTTGGCACCGACATAAATCTGTACAAGATGGTCTTGCAGGGTTGCAGGGATGGTCTGTGTCTGGCGTGGACTGTGCACTCAAGAGCGTCTAGAGCCGCAGAGCCAAACAGCTCTCCAGGTTCCACTGGAACGCTGTGGGGGGGTTCTCCTGCATGCCGCTGTGAGAGGAGATTGTGCCAGCCAAACCTGGCGGCGAGCTTGAATGAGTGTGGACATCAGCTGCCCAAGTTCTCTAGACATCAGCACAAATGCTTGTAATGAAGCGTCACTGAAGTTGTGGATGGAAGGATCCACTGTAGCCTCCTGCAGGGATGCTGATAGCGCGAGCAGCAGGTGGGACATAGAATCACCTATGCGTCCCATTCGCACTGCTGCATCATAAGCTCTGGAAAGCAGGTCGTCCGTAACCCGACACTGGGGACAAGGACACCTAGCATCTAGTCTCAGAGCTTCATCAGGGGAGAAAATGAGAGCATCTATAGTTGGCTCAATTGCTGCCATGCGACCAGTTAATTTAGTGGGGGCTGAACCACGCCTGAAAAGGCGTTAGTCGGAGTCGACTGGGCTTGTGGTAAATCCAACTGTAGACAGGCCAGGGCCATACGAATGATAGCTCCCAGTGAACCATCCTCAGAGCCACCAGTAGAGCTGTGGGTTATTGAACAGGAGCCTGCCACGGAAGCACGGGAGGCAACATCCTGTGGGACCACCTCTGGCTCATATTCAGCAAAGTCAGTAGCCAACGCTGCCGTGGAAAGCACACCATCCTCCGGCCTCAAGATGGCTACCGGAGGAGCAGGAGCACCTGGCACCTCTGCACCAGTCCCAGACTGGAAGGCCAAGAAGAGGGATTTCATGTTTTCAAGCTCTGCCGTTAATTTTTCCACCTTGGAAGCAAGGCTGGACCCTATAACCTTCTTCCTGTGGGTGGGGCCTGCGGTCTCAGCAGCCCAACACTTAGATTTGCCAGACTGAGTATGAGGCAGTGGCTGGGCTGGTGTCAAATGTTCGGGCAATGGGTCAAGGCCCAACAGTTGCTCTACCTCAGCTAGTCTGGCAGCCCTTACTGCCTGGGGCATGAAGCTACAGTTCATGCAGGCATCGTCAGAGAGAGCCCCCTTCAGATGTTTAAGGCCAAGGCATGAAGGACTCAAATCATGGCCATCTTTAGGCTGCAGAGAAGCCATACAGGCCAAGCAAGAATGGTTGCAAAACATATTAACAACCAGTAAATTAAAACGGGAGAACAACAGACACTGGGAGAGGGAGCGAAAACACAAAACGGGCACAATCGAGTTGGCACCACAATATACAAACTAAGTAGGCCGAGGGCAAACGCCGGGAACAATTAGACAGAAAAAAGAAGAGTAACCAAACCTAAGCTGGGAACAGGAAAGTGCACACTGCAGTCACCAACGAAGTACAACTCAAAGGCTCATGCTAATGTGTGTGATTGAGTTGTGCCGAGAAAGGGAGCGGAAATGCTTCTGTCACCACCAAATGAAAGTACAACTTAAAGTGATTACAATAGGTTGTACCAGTAACAGCTGCAAGCACCCGTGATGCCAGCTAATCCAAAAAACATTTGTGGTGCAAATGCTGGGGGAGGAAGCGAAGTCACCTCCTTCACCAACAATTGAAAATACAGCACAATATCTGCGTAATGTACAAATGCTGAGAAAGGAAGCAAGGTCACTGTCTTCACCAACAGTTGAAAATATAAAACAATATCCGCGGTAACTCAAAAAGCCGGGAGAGGAAGTGAGGTCACTGTCAAACTACAACTGAAAGTGAGTATAACTGGTTGCACGGAAGAATGTGCTTATTTGTAATAAGAGAAAGTAAACTTATCCCACTGAGGACAATGAGCAGAAGCAGAAGTGTCCGCGGCAAACAACAAGCTTCTCAGCTGAGTCCATTGCAGCCTTTGGAGGGCGAACAGCGAGCAGCTCTGACAAGACATCACAAAGCTACCAGCAATGAGGGAAAATAATAGTCACTAAGCTTGAGCTAGCGAGGTGACATGTTTACCTGCAAAGCGAGAAGATGAAGACGCCAGAGGGTTCTGGCGTCTCAGAATCCTTGTGCTCTCGCGAGAAGATTCTGCAGGAATAGATCCTCTAATGTTACTGGAAGATATAGACTGACCAGGTCATCAGGGGTCACACGTGACTTTTTTGGTATAAACACTCGACCTGTGCATGTGCGAGATGGATTAAATCAATGCTCTTTTATTTCATATTATTATTGCTTTTCTGCTTTTTGTCTTGTAATATTTGAATAAATTTGTTGAACTCACTAAACAAAGATTAAAAAACAAGAGGATTTGTTTATTACAATAACAGTAATAGACCAACAAAGAAAGTTATGGAAGTAAAAAAGGTGAAAATAATTAAATGCTGCAAGGAATTTGAACAGGAAATGATGAACACTCAGACTTGACATGTTAGCACAAGTAAAGTTTTGAGTTTATTAGGAAACATTAGAAAAGAAAGTCAAAATTCATTTGGATTTTAGCCTAAAAACATTTTTTAATTTTTTTAGGATTTATTTGCTTTTTCCTTAATTATATTTTGTGTTTGTGCTCAATATTTTTGTGTTTTAAGATTTTTTTATTGGCGTCCTTAAATGTTTGTGTCTTCTTTTTAAATCTTATTTTATTTTAATTTTATTTTACTTAATTGAATAAAATCATAATAATGGGATACAAACTCCACAAACAAGAACCACAAATTGAACATCAAAAAAAAAAAAAAAAAAAAAAAAACAGATCAAACATGAATTAAACTTTATACATGAAGACAGATAAAGACAAAAAGAAATGTTTGTGTCTTTGACCTTCAGGGTCACCGTACGGATGACCTGTTAAAACTTCAAACATGCATGAATAACAGTTTGTGTATGAGTACATAAATCCTCAGCTGTGTTTGTTTGTGCAGCAGCAGAAAAACATGTTCCTGATGTAACAGGATAGTTTGTTTAACTTTTAAAAACTTACATTTTAGTCTGAATTGAACTTGTTTTCAAACCTGATGTTTGAAAAACTCTGTGATCTTGACATAGACTGCAGAGACAAACACAAAGTAAAGAAGAAGACAATGATTTTCAGGATGTTGTTTTTCTCAGTCCTAACCTGCTCTCCTTAAACCCTCCTCGAGCTGCTCTGTGGAGTTTCTATCCTCTGCTTCAGCTGGGAAACTCTGCTGTAGGCTGCTGGAGCTGATAATTAATGCTCTTCCTCTTTTTCCTCCTCTTTCCTCCTCCTTGCAGAGATCCTGGCGTGGCACCGGTGGAGAAGAAAAAGAAGGGGAAGAGGAGAAACCAGGAGGTGGCTGTCCAGGAGGGGGCGGAGAGTGACGACACTACCTCAATGTCGGCCCTCAACATGGGAGGAGACGACAGCCAGGACCCCCTGGATAATGCTGTGAGTGAACTGAATACAGGTTTAGACCTGTTCCTGTTCTAGGTTCAAACTGTACCCCCATGAGGATCCCCAATAAGAATCAAGGAAGTTAAGGCCATAACTTTTGAACTTTGTCTGTTGGTTTTAGAAGCGGCGTTCAGGCCGACAGGTGAAAAGGAGGAAGTATAACGAGGATCTGGACTTCAAGGTGGTGGACGATGATGGAGAGACGATCGCGGTCCTCGGGGCTGGTCGGATCTCAGCGCTCAACGCCACAGCTCTGGCGTGGCAGGCCGAGGTGAGGAAAGGCTTTGACTTAAATTCTGTTGGACTTATCTGTGCTTATAAAAGTCTGGGTTATTGCCAAGTTCTAGCCTCACTTTCTGGTGCAGGTGAATGCTGAGTTTTTGGGTCACATGTCCATCAAAGAGACACCTGTTTTAATTGGATAGTTGCTCTCTGGTATAAACATGGTGTTCAGAGTGTTTTAGAGTTAAAGCTCACCTGTGAGGTGACAGAGTTAAAAACACTCAGATGTTTGCCCTGACTCCCTCTGCACACTGACCTCCATTTCTTCAGTCCGATCATCTTCTCTTCATCTTCTCTGTGCTTGTGTCCTTCAGGAGCCGCCTGAGGACGAGGCCAACATCATCGAGAAAATCTTGTCGGTCAGAACAGCAAAGAAAGAGGTGAGAGAGAGCAGACACACACACACATACACACACAAACACACACATACACACATGCACACACATTTTCCTGACACGAATGAATCTCTGAGTCTCTCTTTCACCGCCTCTCGCTCTCTCTCTCTTTCTTTCTCTCTCTCTCTTTCCACCCTCTCTTCCTTTCTCTCTGTACAGACTTCTCCATCAGAGGACCAAGCCGAGGACATGGAGGAGTTTTATGTCAAGTACAGAAATTTGTAAGTCTGTCTTTATAACTTGAAGGTTCTGGTTCTGGTTCTCTTCTACTCTGGTTCCCTTCTGTGTGTAAGACGGGCTGCATGAATCAAATCTGATCTACAAATCTATAAGAATGTGGACACTGTGAAAACTGTTGATAAAGACGGAGTTTGATGGTTTTCCTGCTGTTTGAACACGTGGTTGGTATTTAATAGTAAATCTTAAAGTCCAGACCACATCAGTTCAGTTTCTCAGCAGGGCTCTTCTCCTACAGAGCCATGCTGTTGTAATCCCTGTTGTCAGAATGTGGTTTTGGATCATATGAGGGTCTTTCCTGAAAAGGTCATTGTCTGGATGGATGCAGATGTTGCTCCTCTCTTTGCAATTTTAACCTGTGTTTGTGGATATGGATTTTGGAGGTGATTTTGAGTTTATGCAGTGATTCCCACTACAGAGTCACGTCTGTTTTTACTGTTTTAGGGCCTAAAGATCACACCCCTTTAGTATAATCCATCAGCGTTGTCTCTTTTATACAGAGATTTCAGTGGACATGTGTTTTTATAGACACTCTGAGACAACAGAAGAGCTCCAGTATTTAAATCCAGACCTGATTAAATATGACCTTCTCTGACTCCACCATCGGTCTGCTTTGTTGGAGCTGTTGGTTAATAACTCTTTATGACATTGATTTCTCCCAGTCGTGTTGACTTTGCACAGGAGTCTGTTTTTTTTAAAGATTTTATCCTCTGGAGTTGGTGAAGTTCCTCACTGTGAGTTTTTCCACCGTTGGATCTCTGGGGAGTCTCCTCTTTTTGTTTCTTTAAGTGAGGTCCTGCACAGATATACTGTCATCATTATTATTATAACCGTAATTTACTCCCCAGAGTGATGAATTATACATGAAGAAGAGATCAAACTGCCTTGCTTTCACACGACTTTGCCTGAATTTAATATATTCACAGGTTGGAATTTAATATATTCACAGAGAAAGGTGGACAAAGTTTTATACTTTTGGTGAAAAATGAGTGATGAGCAGGAGAATCTGCTGCTCTCTCTGTGGCATAAATACCTGTCTATTTATAGAGCATCTCACAGATTGATTTTTGCATGTCAGACTGTAACCACAGAAACAACATAACTGCTTTCTCACTCCGTCGACTCCGATCAGAGCGATTTCTATCAGAGAAAACATGACAGAGTGAGAAGTCCTGATGTTTGTCCCTCTCTGCAGAAAACAATCATCCAAACCCTGAAGGACACAAACAGAAGAACAGAAAATCATTTCTACCTTTTTAGAGGGTTTTTATGATCTGACGGTTTGAACATCCAGATATAGATGGAAGTTTTTACACGTCTGCGCCAGCTGCAGCCACAGAAAGAAACAGCTCCTGTTAGCCTGATATCTGAACAATACTTGGAGCAAAACGTCCTCTAAAACAGGATCAAACCGGGAGAAAACTCTGCCTTTATGATTTTATGTTTTGCCATAATGTCCTCCGAACTGAGTTAATGTCATCTGCTGCAGCTGCTTCAGATTGGACCACTCTTTTTTCACATCTTCTCTTTTTAAAACACAGAAATCAATTCCTCCATGTCTAAACCTTATCACCAATAAACCAGATTCTGACTCGAACTCAGATTTCTCTTGACCTCCATCCGTTAATGCCTTGGCTGAAAACTGTTTTGACAGTTAGCTTGTCAGAGATCAGTAAAACAATTAATCCAATTACCCCAAAATGGATGACATAATTCTTTTACACCTCTTGTTGTTCTTTCAAACTCTTAATTTGTAATAAAAATAAATATTTGTTAGTTTTTTGCTTCTAACAAAAAAAGCGTTTCTGCAACCCAGACTCCAAATTATTTTATCTACAGGTTAAGGGGCATCAGGACTCTGTATAGCTGAAGTCACCGCATGGGCTTAATATCTCTTGTCTGTAAACTGTCCTGAGGTCTGATGAATCAAAATCTAACTCTCTTTTGGAAAGGACAACTGGACTTACTTGCTGATAACAAGATGACTGTGATTTTTAGCTAGCTCTGCATTAAAAACAGACATGAGGCTCTGTAGTGGAAGTCACTGCATGGACTCAAAAAACTTCCTAAATTCACCAATGCAGGTTAAAACTGAAGAGTGCACAAAAGAAACCATGATCCAGAGAAATCATGGAAATCCTGGACGCTGGATCCTCCCTTTTAAAGAGCAGAGGGACCTGTTCAAATCGAGCATCCCTGATGGTCTGGGGATCATCATAGTCCATCTCATGTGTATCTGCCACATCTGTTTGGCTCCATTAATGCTGAACAATATCTACAGGTTTAGGAGCATCAGGACTCTGTATAGTTTGAGTCACTGCACGGGCTTAATATCACTTGTCTGTGAACTGTCCTGAGGTCTGTTAAATTAAAATCTTGCACTCTTTTGGAAAGGACAACTGGACGTTTGGCCTAAGGCGAAACATCCCAAGTAAGCCCAGTTGTCCTTTCAAAAAAGAATTGGAAATCATAGATGATGCATCCTAAGTTTTAAGCAGTTTTTTCTGATCGTCCTCACCTCTTTAACGTAAAAATGCTGTGATTTTTGTGTTTTTCTTGAAGTTCTTACCTACACTGTAAATGGGCGACTCTGGAAGAGCTGGAGAAAGATCCCAGAATCCATCAGAAGATCAAACGCTTCAGGACCAAACAGGCGCAGATGAAACACCTGTTCACAGAGGTGACAGATTTTCATCATTAAGGTTTTTTTTCTAAAGTCGAGTGAAGATGTAACAGATCTGTCTAACTTCTATATGTGATTTCTGTCCTGGTCTGCAGCCCGATGAGGACTTGTTCAACCCAGATTATGTTGAGGTAGACCGAGTTCTGGAGGTGGCTGTTACCACGGATACAGAGACAGGAGAGGTGGGTCTCCTCACACCTAAAGCAGTTGTTACACTCTCACACACACACACACACTCTAACTGGCTCCCTGTCTCTGTGTAGGAGGTGACCCATTACCTGGTGAAGTGGTGCAGCCTTTCATACGAGGAGGCCACGTGGGAGCTGCAGGAGGACCTGGACCCTGAGAAGATCAAAGAGTTTGAGGAGATCCAGAAACTCCCGGCAGACCTCCGACACATCGTGAGTTTATTTTATTTTATTTTATGGTACTGTGTCTTTTTCAGTGCTCTTCTGCCCCTTAAAAAATCCTGGAATAGCCCTTTAACAGAGATGCTGATTCATGACTTTGTTTCAGAGTAGTGGGTCGGGATTCAGACTTTCTTAGCTAATTTTTGAACAAATAATTTAGATTCTGAGTAAAAAGGAAAACGGAAAATTGGCGTCTTGGCTTTATGTTTCCTCTGAAAACCAGATGAGCGTCACTCTGCCCCCATCTGTACCCCTTCCCCTCAGATTCCGCATGTCGGTCTTGTTTTTCTCTCTCTGTGCCGGTGACTGCAAACACACTCAGATCTGTGGGTTTCTCCTTCTCCTCTGATGCATCAGGTCTGGTTTTGTTTGGTTTTGGAGGTGAAAATGAGGATTTGAAATCCTGGAAGAAGAAAACACCCTCCTTTGCATACAGAGTCCTCTGATTTTGTGCAAATTCTTAACCTGGAGCACGTTTTCTTTGCTGGATTTTGAAGACTACATCTGTTTGAAATCCACTGTCTCTCTCTGTGAGCTGAAGAAGGATATCAGCAGCAGTTACTGTTTTCAAAACTACGATTGCAACTTATCACAGCGGATCTTTTTTTCTCTCTGTTTCATTATTTGTTGATTCAAACGCCAAACTCAGGAATGATTCCTCTCCAAAAATGTCTTATGAACCGTTTTCTACCTCACAGATTTCAGAGGGAAACAATTTAACATAACTTTATGAATGAATACAGAGAAAAATTTCTGAATCTTTGAGTGTTCCTTCGTGTTTCTGCTGCAGGAGCGTCCTTCTCCAGAGAAATGGCAGAAGTTGGATCATTCCCGAGATTACAGGAATGGGAACCAGCTCAGAGAGTACCAGTTAGAGGGGATGAACTGGTTACTGTTCAACTGGTACAACAGGTGAGGCTGAACACAAACATTGACATCCCCGCAGGCTCTCAGTGTCGAGGTGAGTTAACTCTTGTATTTGGTCTTCAGGAAAAACTGCATCCTGGCAGACGAGATGGGTTTGGGAAAAACCATCCAGTCCATCACCTTCCTCTATGAGATCTTCACCATGGGGATCCGCGGACCCTTCCTCATCATCGCCCCTCTGTCCACCATCACCAACTGGGAGCGGGAGTTTCGTACGTGGACGCACATGAACGTCATTGTGTATCACGGCTCACAGATCAGCCGCCAGATGATCCTGCAGTACGAGATGTTCTACAGAGATTCACAGGTGCAGATCTTTGTTGGCGGTTTTTATTTTGGCGTGGCAATGAGAGTGTGAGGCTGAAAACATCACGGCGAATGTTTCCTAGGAAAATTTACCACATTTTAAACCCCCCCCCCCCCCCCTGTGGCCTGCAGAGTAACACCATCCCAGGCGTGCTGAAGTTTCACGGCGTGATCACTACCTTTGAGATGATCATGGCCGACTGCCCCGAGCTGAAGAAGCTGCACTGGCGCTGCGTGGTGATCGATGAAGCCCACCGTCTGAAAAACAGAAACTGCAAACTGTTGGAGGGACTCAAACTCATGAACCTGGTCCGTGCCCGTGTGTGCACATCTCCACCTTCACAGTTTGCATTAAGGTCTAAAGCTGCAGCAGGTTTCTGTGTGGTGTCAATTTTTTTTTTTTTCTGTTTCTCTCAGGAACACAAAGTTCTGCTGACAGGAACTCCTCTGCAGAACTCGGTGGAGGAGTTATTCAGTCTGTTGAACTTTCTGGAGCCTCTCCAGTTTCCCTCGGAGAGCTCCTTTCTGGAGGAGTTTGGAGACCTCAAAACAGAGGAGCAGGTGTGTGAAGACAGTGTTTACATCAGAAACATCCCGAGATTTGATTTTTTACGTCATCTAATGCTGACTTTGCCTCAAATCAAAATCTGCCTCGCAGTTTATTCCTCGGTTGGGCAACATTTTGTATTTTTGCATGACACAGAATCACAGCAAACACTGAGGAGGGAGAAAGTTACACAGACAGAGACTTATATGGTTAGGGACATGGGATAAATGATCATTCACAATATATCATCAGACAAATCCTCCATTATAAATATTTGCCATCTCACGATAAATGCAAGTTGATGACGTAAGCGCGAGTGACGGACTCGCAGCTATAGCCCACACAGAGCAGAATAACAGACAAACATGGCCCAAGGTAATGAACGCGTTTCTGAGCAGGCTCCACATGAGGGATTTGCTTCAAGATTGGGTTTAGATGAGAACAATCCGGTATGCCTGACACCAGACAGTGGATCTGCTGCTGCGGTTCACTCTGTGTAATTTGAGTTTTCAATAAATGTTGAAAATGTTTTCACATTTGAGACTTGTTTGATATCATTAGGTTTCTCCATAACCTACTACTCAAACTTGTGGTTAAATATCTTATTTGACTACTCTAACTGGTGTTCTCAAGACAAAATGAGTCAAAAATATAGATTGGAATTGTAACATTTTTTTATCAGGACTTTTATCGTAATCGCCAGAATGGCAAAACTTACACTGATAAATTTTTTAGCCCATATCATTTATTCCTTCTTATGGGGCGTTCACACCAAGGGCGAGTAATACCATCTACTTGCTTAATTTGCTCTTATCTAGACATGTGAATGAAAAGGATTTACTCGCTTCATTTGTGCATCAACAGAGTGCTTAATAGCTGTGGTTTGCTGCTTATGCTAACTTTTTCAGTGATCCTTGCCAATTCAACCGGCAGGATCAAGTGGTAGACAACGGTTTTTCACAACTAACCAAATAACCCGACCTACTCGCTCACTTTCCTCCAGGCGAGCTCCTTTTTATTCCTGTTTTTATGAAAAACGCCATGGATATGAGAAAGGGCCAGAGTCTTCATCAAGCATGGCAGGAGTGAACCACGTTCAGCAGATTGGTGCTTTGTTTTTGTTGTGGGAGACCCAGAATCGTAGATATAGGCATCACCATGTCTGGGTCTCCTCCAACAGCTGCGCCCGGATGACAGTCGTTTCCAGCTGTATTTTTGGGTTACCCAAACCCAATTTGACGACCTGATGGTGAGGGTCAGTACCAGGATATCCCTCCAGGAAACCGATTACAGGCACTCCATTCCAGCTGCAGAGTGCATGTCCATCTGTCTACTGTGAATAAAAGGATTTGTCTTTATATTTTCACACCAGTGAACATCTGCTGGTCCATTTTCATACATCACCCAGGAATCTACCTGCTGATTAGTTATCGCAACACGAATATCCGCTGAAGTTGAGATATTTTCAACTCTCACAAATTTGTGTCCACTCAATTTGAGCAATTCGCACCACCAGAGTAGTACGAGCGTCTAATTGTGTCTTTGCATCGACTTAACATGTAATTAAATTCCGTGAATGATTTTGATGTGAAGGCCTCATTACAGTTCGAAAGGTTTGTGTGAAATCGTGAAAAAGTTCTTTTTAAAAGCTGAGGGAAATGCTCATACTTAATGAATAATAACTTAACTCAAACTTTTCTGTTTTACTTTAAAGCAAATACCTGTTTGTCCACAGGGGGCGCCAAACTTAACACAAACTGAAGCTTTTAGGAACTCATTTACCCAGAGCAAATACACTTTTGAAATTAAATTGGGGGAAGTTACATAACATCTTTTTAGAAAAGCAAACAAACATTTATGAAGCTTTTTAAGCCATCATCTTTTATTTTTGCGTTCCTTCGTCAGGTGAAGAAGCTTCAAGCAATCCTGAAGCCAATGATGTTGAGGAGACTGAAGGATGACGTGGAGAAAAACCTGGCGCCCAAAGAGGAGACGATCATCGAGGTACGGCTGTGCGAGGGTTTCATAAGAACTACAAATAAAAGAGCGAAAGAAAGTCAACAAGATTAACTGAATAAAAATACTCTAGAAACTTTTTTTCGCAAGCTGATAGATCATCAGTCAGAGCAGCGAGGAAATCCTCTGCTGTGAGTTCAGTGAGAGAGTTTCTGTTAGGAGGACAGGGCTTTAGAAAAAAACTTCAAAATCATACATGAAGCCAGAATCAGCCTCCAATTTCAAATTTTTCCGACCTTTGACCTAATATTTAAAAAAAAAAAAGAAATGCAAAAGGGAAATCAAGTCCTTTTCTGTGTGTAGGTGGAGCTGACCAACATTCAGAAGAAATACTACAGAGCCATCCTGGAGAAAAACTTCTCCTTCTTATCGAAAGGAGCAAACCAGCACAACATGCCCAACCTCATCAACACCATGATGGAGCTACGCAAGTGCTGCAACCACCCCTACCTGATCACAGGTAAGTTCAGTCTGCGAATAGCCCCACCTGATCACGGAGTCTAGATGCATGCACAGTGACAACAGACCTTCTCTGGAAAAGAGAAGTTTCGTATCTCACACTTATTGTCTTTACCTGAGGATACAGTGGATGAACATTTTCGCTCTCGTTGTTGTCCTTCTCAGGAGCCGAGGAGAAGATACTGGAGAGCTTCAGGAAGAGCCACAGTCCTGATGCTCTGGACTTCCAGCTGCAGGCGATGATCCAGGCTGCTGGAAAACTGGTGCTGATTGATAAGCTGCTGCCCAAACTGCTGGCTGGAGGACACAAAGTCCTCGTCTTCTCCCAGATGGTCCGTTGCCTGGACATCCTGGAGGACTACCTCATACAGAGACGGTGAGGAGCAGGGAGGGAGCTCTATGATTATTACCTCAGACTTCTTAAGCCTCTAAGGAAAAATGCACCAAACATTTCTGGGTTGATCTCAGTGGGTTCAAGCATTTCCTAGAAGCTCTGCTGCAAGTCTCACTCCTCACTGTGACTTTCCTTATCGCCTCAAAAGCTGCAGTAAAAAAAAACGCGATTTAAAGATGCATCACCTTTGACATTAACATGCATGTCTTATGCAGCTACACTTACGAGCGCATCGATGGCCGTGTGCGGGGAAACCTTCGGCAGGCAGCCATCGACAGGTTCTGTAAGCCAGACTCAGACCGCTTCGTGTTCCTGCTGTGCACCAGAGCTGGAGGTCTGGGGATCAACCTGACAGCTGCAGACACCTGCATCATCTTTGACTCTGACTGGAACCCGCAGAACGACCTGCAGGTGAGCAGAAAACATCGAAAGATGCTTTAGGCAGAGGGTACGAATTTTCTTCTCTGAGCCCAATTAAGGACTGAAAAGAAAACTGCCCAGAGGGCTAATGAATCAATATTTGACTTTTTTTTTAAGAATTATCAACACCTAATCTCCAAATTTCCCCTGGATCATCAGAGTCCACGTCATGGGTATCTTCCACATCTCTGAAAGCTCCATGAATTCTGAACCATATCTCCAGGTTTAGGAGTATCAGGACTCTGTAGTTGGAGTCACCGCATGGGCTTAATATCACTTGTACATGAACTGTCCTGAGGTCTAATGAATCAAAATCAAACACTCAAGGACAACTTGACAACGTCCCAAGCTAATTCAGTTGTCCTTTCAACAAAGAACTGGAAATCATAGATGCTGCATCCTCAGTTTTAAACAGTATCTCTAGGTGTATGAGCAACATGAATATATCTGGGTTTTCTCTCTGTCTAAACTTTGGTCTCTCTCTGTGGACTCTGCTAAGCTGCTGATTTATTCCATGTCCTCTCTTTAGGCTCAGGCTCGCTGTCACCGGATTGGTCAGAGCAAAGCGGTGAAGGTGTACAGACTGATCACTAGAAACTCATACGAGAGGGAGATGTTCGACAAAGCCAGTCTGAAGCTCGGGCTGGACAAGGCTGTGCTGCAGGACATCAACCGCAAAGGCAGCCTGAACGGGGTCAGAAGATGATTTTGCACCCGTACACACTGTGGATTAGGAAACGCAAAAGCATTAACACTAACCTGAGGTGTCTGGTCCTGCAGGTGCAGCAGCTCTCAAAGCTGGAGGTGGAGGATTTGCTGAAAAAAGGAGCGTATGGAGCTCTGATGGACGAGGAGGATGAGGGCTCCAAGTTTTGTGAGGAAGACATCGATCAGATCCTCCAGAGAAGAACTCAGACCATCACCATCCAGTCTGAGGGGAAGGGGTCCACGTTCGCAAAGGTAGGAATCAGGGATGGTCTAAAAGGACATCCCACATACTCAGACCTCCAACTGCATCTCTGTGTCTCTGCTCCTCAGGCCAGCTTCGTGTCCTCCGGGAACAGAACTGACATTTCTCTTGACGACCCCAACTTCTGGCAGAAATGGGCCAAGATTGCCGAGGTGGAGATAGACTCCAAATCTGAAAAGGTAAATAGGAAAGTAGGGAGGGAGGGAGGGAGAGAGGGAGAGAGAGAGAGAGAGAGAGGAGTTTAGTGGAAAAAAAAGTGAGACTGGAGGAGACGAGCCAAGATAAGAGCATGTTTTTAAAGGGTGAAACTAAAGGAGGTCACAAGAGGTCAAAAAGGTCAGGAGGAGAAGAGTTATAGGGACGTAAAAGATAAAAAGTGTTTGAGTCAAGTTAATGAAGAGATAGACAGAGAAAGAAGTTCAGATCCTAACCAGAGAAAAGAAAACTTTCCCTATTTGCACATTTTTTTTTTTAAACATTTTTCATTTCCTCTTTTTGTATTGTTCTATTACAAGTATTATGTTTTCATTTTTTCACATTATCATTATTTTTTTATTCTTTCTTTCCCCTTTCCTGGATTTCATTTTACTTCTTTTTCTTTTCCAATTTTACTTTTTCTTTGTTCTTTCTTTTCTTTTATGCTTTTCTGTCATTTTCCTTTTAATTCTCATTCTTTATTTTCTTTTTGCTTACACTTTTCCCCTTCCTCTTCAGATTTTTTTTTGCATTTCTTCGTTTTTCCTTTTCTTCTTTCTTTTTGTGCATCATGTATTGTATTGAATTGTTCTAGTTTTGTTGTTTTGTTTTTGTCTTGTAGGCTGTTGTGATTTGTTGTGGTTATTGATGTTGTCTTTGTGTTTGTGGCGTGATGTTTTTTGTGACTGTGCACTGCGATGGAGAGTTCATTTTAAATGTAGACTCCAGGTAGAATAGCGATGGCCTCCATTAGCCAAAGCCAATGGAGATATAAATAAATAAATAAAAATGTTGTTTCCTTTCTTTCTCTTTTACTTTAACTATTTATTTATTTTTCTCTCCTTCCTTTCTTTCTTGTCTTCCTTTCCTTCTCTCTTCCTTCCTTTATCTTTTTATACTCCTTCCTTCCTTGTTCCTTTCTTCCTTACTTTCCTCTGTTCCTCCTCTCTTCCTCTCTCACTCCTAACAGATGGAGCTTCTTAAATGATTGAAGCAGATTACAAACCAAGCACTGCTGCTGTCTTTATAACCTCTCAGTGTGTTTTTTTGTGTATATTTGTGTGTGTATTTGTGTGTATATATGTGTATGTGTGTGTGTGGACGATGAATGGTGCCTGGAGTCTTCAGTAATGGACTCCCTTGGGGAACAGAAGTTCTGTCTCTCCTCGCTTCTCCTCTGGTGCTCCTCTCAGGGATTGAACAGGACCGTGTTCAGATCTCTCCTCCTCGGACTCAAGTCGACCTTTTTTCCTCTCTCTGTCTCAGGAGTCTCTGGTGATCGACACTCCTCGGGTGAGGAAACAGACTCGTCACTACAACTCCTTTGAGGACGATGAGTTGATGGAGTTCTCGGAGCTGGACAGTGACTCGGAGGAGCGGCCATGTCGGACCAGACGTCTGGGCGAGCGAACCAGGCGGTATCTCAGAGCCGAGTGCTTCAGGGTGGAAAAGAACCTGCTGATCTTCGGGTAAAAACTCTTTAGGCTGTGTGGTTCCTCCTCTGATTGGTTCGGTTTTCAGGAAGTGTGAGAATGGAATGAATCTTTGTGATTTCTTTTATTCTCTGTCTTTATATTATAACCCTCCTCTCTTTTACTGTGCCGTTAAGGTGGGGTCGCTGGAAGGACATCCTGAACCACGGCCGCTTTAAGTGGCACCTGGCAGAGAGAGACATGGAGGTCATCTGTCGGTAAGAAAAACTTGATCGGCCCTGGACCTCAGTCAGTGGATCAGCAGATGGATTTTTTTTAACTGATTTAAGTTTCTGTATCTGCAGACAGATCCACCTCTGAGTTCTTCTTCTTTGTTGTTGTTGTTCAGGGCTCTGCTGGTTTACTGCCTCAAACACTACAAAGGAGACGACAAGATCAAGAGCTTCATCTGGGATCTAATCACACCCACCAAAGAGGGACAGGACCAGGCCCTGCTCAACCACTCTGGTTAGACCTACACTGCTCACCTCCTCCACAGCGACTTGATGTATCTCAAATATGAAGTTCGGTTATCTTGCAGCTTAATGCAAATACTTTGAGAGCTCATGTTTATCCTACAACACAAAGACAGGATAATCTTCTTTTTCAAACTCATTAACTTTTCTTTCAGTGCCGTTATATGAGGTTAATTTCCAGACTTTTGAAACTCCATCAGCACTTTTTTCTACTCTTTGACACATGCAGTAAAACCTTTCTACACCTGCAAGACTTGAATGTTTTAATCAGTAAAACTCACATATAGTTACCATCTTTGTTCTGTTTTCTGCCTCAAAATCATTTCCTTCCTTCCTGAGAAGCACTTAATTTTTTTTTTTTTTAATACACCCTCAATCAAAAAGAAAAGTTTTTCCAATTGCATAAAATGTTGATTTAAACAGATTAATGTGCTTGAAAATCCATTTGAAGTGTGTGTAAATAAAAGTGGTGAAAAGGCATCGAAACAGATGTTAAAATTGAAAAGAAATTTAGAGTTTAATGAAGAAACACGCCTCAGGGACGAGAAAACACTGAGACAGTCGTGTGATCGTTAAAAAAAAAGTACCTGGAGGAACGTCTCCGACCAATTAGGTGGATCTACAGCAGGTTAGAAACATGATCGGGTCTAAGAAGGACTTGATGAGGGGCTGAGTCTCTCAGGGAGGAAGATGGGACCAGGTTTTCAGGCCCAGGTTAATGAAAATCAAAGGGACTTTCACTGATTTCCAAACTGAATAAAGATCTTTCCGTCAGGCCTGTCAGCTCCAGTTCCTCGAGGTCGGAAAGGGAAGAAGCTGAAGAACCAGCTGAATGTTCCTGAGCTGAAAAACGCCGACTGGTTGGTTCACTGCAATCCTGAGGTGGTTCTGCAGGACGAAAGCTACAAGAAACACCTGAAACAACACTGCAACAAGTCAGTTTGACTCACTTTCCTTCAATTTGATCAGCAGATTTAAGTCAGAGTTTGTTTTGGTATTACTGTTTGTTCTGAAACTGAACATCTTCTCCAGGAAACAGGAGAAGTTTGAGTAGTTTTCACGTTTCAAGTTGTTTTAGATAAATCTTGACAGTGTTTATGTGTTTACAGTGAGGAAATTATCTTCAACTTTGATTCACTCAAAGTGAAACTGTCTTGATCTTTCCTCAGGGTGCTGCTGAGGGTGAGGATGCTTTACTACCTGAAGGTGGAGATTTTGGGCGAAGCTGCAAATCAGGCTCTGGAGGGGATCCCTGCCAGGTATGGAGTTTACACGCTATATTATGTTAGGGCTATGTTACCCCACACAAAGATTTTAGAGTTTTAGGTTTTTGAAACCCCAAAACTTTTGTAAAGGGACCGCAGAGTGTTCAAAAACTAATCAAGGAAACAAACTGGAGACTAGGGCTGCATCATTTTGGCCAAAAATAAATCCTGATTTTTTTTCTCTGAAAACTCGATATTTGATTTTGATTTTTTTATTCAGTGACAACTTCACCAAACTGCTCTTTAAAAATAAAAAGGTTTTCTCAAAATGAAACCACTGAAAATGATGTAGTGCATATGCCAAGCCAGTAATTGGCACTGTAACACTACACAAGAAATGTTCAAAAGACAGAAGAAGAGTACAGAGCATACGTATAAAGGTTGTTTTGGCCAGACATGCGTGGGCATCCACACAGAGATGAAATTTGTTCCCGTGTGGATGGGTTGATACCGCCTTAAGATGGACTTTGCAGCGGGGAGTGCTTTGCTCTTCTTCTAAAACTGCATAGCTGTACCAATTCCACACGACTGACTTGCTCTTGTCCTATTTAGCCACGAAATCATCACCTTCCTTTGCAAACGCCATGTTTGTTTACACGAGTGTGTGTGGAAAGTGGGGAGCCCCCCCCCCCCAGGAAGGCAGAGCCTATGGTGGCCATGAGAGACAAGAAAATCGTTTGACGATTTTAATTTTTTTTAACATCATCATAATCGATTAATTGTGCAGCCCTACTGGAGAAAGTGCTGGACCATCGTTCCCAACACCTCCACCCTAAACTACTGAAGAAGTAAACTGAACCGAAAGTTGCAAAAACACTGATACCTGAACAACCTGCAAAACTTCAACCCAAAACTGGAACTCCTACAGAAAGCAAACTAAGGTTGTCAGGATACCAGTACTCTGAATTTTGCTGCAATGCTAATAAAGATTAGGTGGTTTGGATGAGGGCTTTTATTGTTTTTATTGACAGCACAGACTGGTTTTCACTTATATGTGTGCGTGTGTTTGTTTGTGTTGTGTGTGTGTTTGTGTCGGCAGTAAGCTGGAGGTGTCACTCCCTGACATCGACTACATCGAGATCCCAGCCTCCTGGTGGGACGCAGATGCCGACAAATCTCTGCTCATAGGAGTCCACAAACACGGTGAGAGCAGCGGGACACAGAGTTCAGTTATTAGGAGCAGCTCTGCTAAAGACTGATTTATTTATCTTCATTTCTAAAAACAGGATTCTCTTCGGTTTTTGCCCATTCGAAGAATAATTTTAGACTCTAGCAGTTTTAAGTGTTAGTTTGGCTTTAATGCAGTAATATGCAAACCGTATTATACATTATGAAGTAATATCCTATGATAGAGGAGTTGTGTCACGTTGGCACTAAATGCATCAGTTGTGTGTGTGTGTGTGTGTGTGTGTGTGTGTTTTGGCTGTCAGTTTTAATCATGTGTGTTTGATTCCTCTGATCAGGTTACGAGCGGTACAACGCCATGCGAGCCGATGCAGACCTGTGTTTCCTGGAGCGAGTGGGGATGCCCGACGTCACAGCACTGTCCGCTGAGCAGGGAGGGGGAGAGGGGGCTGCAGACATGGCTGACAGGTAGAGTACTGGTAGAATAACGTGCACACATACAGAAGAAGGCTTTCCTGTTCTACAGCTGTGACTGCTCCTTTCCTTTTTGTCATATATTTAAGTCAACAAAGGTTTCTAATTTTTTCCACAGCAGTCAGATCACATTTTAATGAAGGCTGTAAAATGCACCTGCACACGGCTGCAGGAGAATCTTTATAAAATCTTTGATTTTAGCTGGAACTTTCCGCTGAGCTCTGAAAGGTGATCGTTTCTCCACACAGAAGCTGCAAAATCAACCACACTGCTCTGTTCTCTGCTCCTAACAAAATGTGGAAAAAGAGTCTCTTGGTTTAAGAAAGCAGAGAGAGCCAGAGCAAAGTGAGAAATCGCCGTGTTGGATGTATTTTCTGGCTGCTGCAGAGTGATGAAGATGAGCTCTCCGGAGGCTTTGATCCTCCTACTAAAAGAAAATGAAATCGTCACTCGTTTTGTTGTCGCTTTAACCCGAAGCTGTTTACAGCTGAGCGGGGCGACCTCGTGGTGGAGACCATGTCTAGACTGCAAGTGTGAACTCTGTTTGAAACAGGACAGGAGGAAATAAACAATGAAAATGGCGTACAGGGGCTGAATCATGGTACTGCAGACACCTAAAAACCTCACCGAGTTTGTGTTGTGCTTCCCGAGGGTGATTTTAACCATCTGTGGAAACTCCACCAACGATATCACAGCTGAAATCATGCAATGTGTGTGTGGAAATAACAAATCAGACCAACAGAGGTCTGATCGGAGTGAATTTGTTTGAACATTTAGGAACAGCAAGGTTTTTACCCTGACTGCTGATGCCCTAACCAGCCTGAACACATTTGATGGACTAATCTTTGAAGCTAGGCAGGGTTGAGGTCTTGTTGGTGCTCAGATGGGGGACCCCCTAGGAGTTCCAGGTGCTCTAAGCGCTAAATAAGACATTTTGTAAGTAATGGGGCAAAGTAGGCCTGTCACGATAACAAATTTTGCTGGACGATAATTGTGCTACAAATTATCGCCGATAAACGATATTATTGACACCGTTTTTTAAATTATAGATAATGATATTAAATGGCATAATAATGCGAGTACACCGTGTCAAAAGTGATAAACTTTAATTTCACCCACGACGAAGACGTAACGTTGACGAGCTAAACATAAGTCGGAGATGACTAAAATGTGACGAGACGAAAGTGCGTTTACGTTGATGGGACGAGACGAAAATGACGAACAGAGTTGCAAAATTCAGTCAGTTAAACGCTAAACATATAGGAGCAGCTTAGGTCCGCTCTGACAGCTCTCATCAGCCTGCTGTGCTCCTCCAACACACAGACACACACGCGCGCGCGCGCACACACGTGGAGTTTTGTGGTTGACGAAAACAAAACTGGTTTAAAGCCGAAATATTCCCACACTTGGGCTGTTGCGTTCGGTTTAGACACCAAAGCTGTCGTGTTCATTCTGTTTGCTTGCTTTTCACTCACGACGCTCACTTGCAGCACTGTATCCAAAAGTCTGTGTCTGTGTGCCTGTGCGCGCCAGCCCCCTCGTGACAAAGACACTGAATGACTGACAGGAGGGTTCACTAACTCCGTTCATTCCGCTATAGAGCCAACGCCCCCAGGTGCCGAGAAAAATGGGCAGAGTGAGACCTCTTCTCTTATCCAGCGTGTTTGGTAGCGAGAGAGGAGGAAAACAAACGCACGTTAATTATCGAGGCTGGCAAAATGACCGACCTCGTTTTTATTTACCGAGCGATAAGGCGATTTATTGATTATCGCGACAGGCCTAGGGCAAAGACACTCAATCAGTTTAGAGTTTTTGTTGGATTTACAGGATAGATAAATGTCATAGATAAATGTCTATCGCACCTTTCCTTCCTCAGGACTTTTGCACTCAAAGCTTTTTAACACATAATAATGTTTGTAAAATTCACTCTGCTTCCTCCTACTTAACCTGAACAGCTGATCACAGTCTGACAGGCTCTTTGTTTCAGGTCTGCAATATTTCTTTGTTTTTTCTCTGACGTGTTTTTAACTTCAGTCAGACATGAAGAAAGCCTGTGTTGACTCTTTCAGCTCTTTATCCTGTTACATCCCCTCTCCCCGTGTCACCTTTCTCAGCGTGACGTCCTCTGTGTTGTTACTGAAGCTTTTTTCTTCTCTTCTGTTTCTTCTGTCAGCGCTTGCAAACCGGAGGAGACGAAGGACGAGGCTGAGAGTAAAGCTGACGGAGGAGAGGACAGAGATGAGAGCAGCAAGGTGAACATGACATCCAGAGAAAACCGCCTTTTATTCTCTCCCACAGAACCTGAGGTGGATTTTATCTCTTTAGACCTCGCTGAGGTCTCTTTCCATAAAAACCTCATTTAGTGAAACGCTCCTGTGGGAGGAAGCTGTTGACCACTGTGGTCCTCATGTCCTATAAAAACAGAAACAAAGAGATAATGATGCATTTAAGTAGAAAACAACTGTGAACACCAAAGTTGACGAAAAATAACCCTTTAAAATCCTCTCTGTGGCTCATGGCTGTTTTCTTAAACAATGAGAGACGGATTCTCAAAAGTCTTTGGCGGCTTTTACACGCACTAAATATCAACAAGACAGGATCTGTTTCACTCTTTCAAAGGGGTAGATAAAATTCAAACTGAGCTGCAGACGAAAACAGAGTCACAGTGAACTGGTGTTGTTTGCATGTGTTTAAATAAGCCAATTTGGCCCTTTTCTATGCAAGTGAGCCTCACTGCAAAAGAAATGCTGAATTCACAAAAACTAGTGCCAAAGCCGAGTACAGTCAGAGTGAAACTTTACCGTCTGCTGAGAGCTGGTGGGAACTTTTCCCGTATACTTGAGTAATCACCTCTAAATGTCTATAAAATCTGTATTTTTTATAGTAGTGCAGAGTTAAATCAGCCTGAGGCTGCCTGTGCACAAATGTTCACAACAGAGTATTTTTTTTAGGTCTTGATGAGCCGCTCTTTGCTGGTTTAATCCAGATATAAAATGAAATGTGTGATACATCAGTCCTATATCTGCAATAAACTACTACCAAGTGTCCACTCTCCATCCCTCTCATCCTCTGGCAAAACAAGAGCAACCTGCAAAACTCTAAGGGCCTGTTTCCACCTGAGTATGGAAGCTTTGTGGATTAAAGTGGTCAAAGATGTGTGGCCACACTTCTTAGTGAAGACTTATAATTTTATAGTTTGGACTTCAATGCAGTGTTATCATTTCTACATGTAACACAAACGAACATTTAAACTGGGGTGCTTTAGGTCGCCCGGGTGTTTCCTCTCTATCGTGTTAAACTCTGAAGGGGAAATGCTGCTTTTATATTTTGCAGAGATGCATCGTTTGTCTTATTTGTACGATCAATACCATATAACTCATAAAATAAAGCTGCAGAGTTAATCCTCAATATTAGTTCGAGTGAGAATTCTCTGCGTGAATGTGTTCTCTTTATTAATATTTGTGTGTTTTAACCTCACAGGGAGAGGAAACCTGCTCCAGCACGGACACATCAGACAAACCAGACAGTACAGGACCAGGTGAGATACCATGATGATGTGCTTTACATCCATGCATGTGTGAATTCAGAGTCAGTCAACTGTAAATGATGTCAAGTCACACTGAGGATTGGTATGAAATGTTGTAAAATCTGCAGGTCTCGTAGGTAATCAGAGCTTTTGAAATCCGGTCTTTATTTCCACATTCTTATAATGAATTGGACCTTTAAACAGTATTATATAACTCTCCCCCCTCTCCTCAGTCTGAGAGGTTTTCTCCCCCGACGGCTTGTATGAAACCACTCTCACCTTCAGCAGAGGTCTTCATCTCTGCTGAGATCAGATGATCCAACGTGTGAAATGAGTTTCAGTGGTTTAATGTTCCTGTCCATCTCTGAGGGGATGTTAAAAAGAAGTCTAATGTTGAAGAGCACTCTGGAGAAAGACTGGCTGAGTCTGACAGTGTTGTGTTGTAAACAAGAAGACAGAGCAGATCAGTAATATTATATGTTTATTACCTGAAGTGCTCTTTTTGTGTTTATACTCAGAACATGCCCGTAGTTTAAGTCTGAGTGTGAACAGAGTTTTCAAAGCTGAGAGAATTCAGGCGAAAGAGAGCAATGTATCTTTTAAACCTGCTGATAAAAGTTGAAACTTAGATGGATTAGTGATAAAATTAAAAACCCCACAGTCGCCATGTTTTAGAAAGTTAGAAATCAAACAATATTCTTGCTGCTGAAAAATCTTTGAATTCAGCATCACATCCAGTTTTAGAGCCAGGACCGAGTCCTCCTGGTGACAAACATGCAGGTGCCTTGACTTAAACTTCACCTTTCTGACATTCTGTCAGACTGTTGGAGGATTTTTCCTCCTTCTTTACTTAAATTTTGCCTCCATATTTGAATTTGGCCCGTCATTTTAGAGAATCGTGTTGATTAATATGTTTGTCCTCAGCAGACACTCAGCTGACAGCCGACTTATGCGCTCAGGACGCCACACTGGTCACCACAACAACCACAACTGGAACAGGGACAGGTGTTGCAGCTCTCCATGTGGTCCAGGCCCGCCCCCTCTGGCCCACAGGCCCCGCCCTCACAGCCCGTTTACGCCGTCTGATCACAGCCTACCAGCGCTTCACGCTGCGCCGGGAGCCAATGCTCAGACCTGACTTCCTGCTTCATGATGGCCTCGTCGGCATGGGGATGGGAGGAGGGGGAACCACTCACAGTCATCATGCTGGAGGGCCGCTGGCATGGCAACTAGGGGAGGAGCTTAGAAGGTGTACAGTGGTCACCACTGAGCCCGACCCACTGTTTCTGGAGTGGCAGAGAAGGTAACCACAAGAGGAAGTCAGTTTCTTTTTTATGTGTTTTTTTGGGAGGTCAGAATATCTGAGCTGTGTTCCCTCCAGAAAAATGGCCCTTCAAAAGTTGATTTCAGGGTTTTAAAAAGTGCCTCAAAAGTTAAACTTCTTCATTCTGGTCTGGCTCAGGTGGACTCGTCGGGAACAGGCAGATTTTTATCGCACTGTGTCTTCGTTTGGGGTGGTCTATGACCCGGAGAGGAAAACCTTCGACTGGTCCCACTTCAGAGCTCTGGCTCGACTGGAGAGAAAGACAGACGAGAGTTTGGAGAGATACTTCAACTCTTTTGTCAACATGTGTAGGACGGCCTGCAAACTGCCTCAGAGGAAGGAAGAAGGTACTGTTTAGATTTTTCTTGTTTTATATTTTAGTTTATCCTTCAGGATTGAATTATTTTTGTTTCTGTTTTCTGCAGCCATTTAATCTTCAGGCTGTTGGACAAATATAACCGTTACACATGGAGTAGTTCTTGCACACCCCTTGCCTAAATCTCTCTCTCTTAAACCCTCTTCCTGCCTCTCTCTGCTCCCATGTGGATATTGATTGTCTCCCTTTTGTTTCCTCCAGGGTTGGTGGATCCCTCGGTGCTCGTGGAGCCTCTAACTGAAGAGCGTGCAGCGAGGACGTTATACCGCATCGAGCTGCTGCGCAAGATCAGAGAGCAGGTGAGCTCTTCTTATACATGATTCCACGAGTCCTACAAGTTTTCATTTGTACTATTACCACTCAAACTGACTTTAGAGTATGCTTTAAAAAAGATTCCCCTTATGATTGGTTTCCTTTGGTGGCTAAATAAGAGAGTGACACTCAGAAGCTAGTTCAGGCAAGCACGTCAAGTTTGAAAACTGAAATTTACACAAACATGGATGTGTTCAGGGTGGGAGTCTTTATGAGCCAAGGCAATTTTATACTGTTGTGTCGATGTGGGACAGAGCTGGAGCAGTTTATAATTTCATGACGAGGGTTTTATAGAGATCAAAAATTTGACCTCATAAATACTCTATCCATATCAAAGCAATAGACGCTCATTTCAAAATTCTTCACAAAAATATCCTGATAACTCTTTAATTTCAAAATTATGGATGTGGACAGCGCTTTTATTAATTCTTTTTTTGTGCATGCTGGTAAAACTCTAAACCTTCTGTAATGTATTGTCGCAATGCAATACTGGTTGGACCTGTGTTCTCATATCTTTCCCTGAAAGATGTTAATTATGAAAATATGAACAAGCGTCTTCGGTATTTAGTTTTTTTTTCATTTATTGGGAAAATATTTTATTAATAAGCAATAAAATTCAGCCTCCAAGCTTACATTTCCTCATTTTTTAGTTAAATTTAATTCACTTAATAAATCCGTAGGGTTAGGGTTAGCCCTGGTTAAAATATAAAAATAAAACAATATTCAGATCACTATGAAATGCTATTGATGTACTCCTTGGCATTTGATGAAATTAATGATTACAGAGATTGATAAATACATCTATGTGTTTATATAACAATATTGTATTATGCTTTTAATTTTTTTTGATTATTTATTGAATTTTTGTTTTTTATAAAATCTTGGAGGTATACTCTATTAATGAATTTACTCTATATATTGACTTTTTGTTTTTGTATTTGTGAAACAGTTCTTATGTATTGTGTTTTGTGTAAGTGTTTGACATCATTTGTAAAGAACTGACCTTTCGCAAAATCATGCCCTCAAATGGTCACTGTCCTATCACACAGCCTAGCAACCATTACTATGTAAGCGGGGTCCAACAAGCCGCAGACCACTAGTGAAATGGTGAACCAATGTGCCCACAGGTTGTGCAAGTTAGATACTTGGTACCCTAAGAGTTTGGCTGGGGGAGTCATTTTCTTTCCCTTTCCATAGCTGCAAACACAGAAGGAGCATTGCCTACAGTGGATAAAACAGTGTGAAAGGCCCCACTCCCAGCTAAATATCACGAAAATAAACAAGCATAAATACGTCTGCTCCAATGGAAGGCTAAGCTAGACTGACGCCATAGCTCACTAACGTTGTTTTATCAGTTTAGATGGAAGTTTAACCTAGCGTCCCAACAGACACTTAAAACTTACTTTGTTTTTTTATCTTTCATGTAGCATTTTGTAATCAGGGAGCCTACTCCTAAATATCCCAACCCTGTACTTGCTGTAAAAGTGCCTAACATGAATGTAAGAATGTGTTGTCACCATGGACTATAAGTAGCTTGACACCTTACATTCATGCTACCTTCACAATCAAAAGAGACATTTTGGCATAAAAGAGGAAAAAAATATGTGGAATTTTAAAACATTTTTTAGCCTTATGAAGATGCTAGCTGGCTTATTAGCCGTGTAGGTTTATTGGCTGTGCTAATGCACTCACAGGAGGATGTGGACACAGATAAATATATTTTAACAATACTGGGCTAAGAGAACTTACCTGGCAGTGAAAAAACATGTCTGGTCCACCAGGCTGTGCTCGTTGCATTTGAGGAAGAATTCATGGGGTTTCTACGTTTTTGCCATTGACCGGTGTGCTTTAGCCTTGATAGTAGTAGTGTCCCCTTCGTTACTTATTTTAATATTATGAATATAATCCTCCACTGCATATTGCAAACCCCTTTTGCCTTGGTTGTGAGGATATCGCACAGGTATTACTTCAAAAAATGTCACTGACAGGCACTGAAATACTTCTCCCTGCCATGATAGTGTGCCGACAGTCTGTCAGCTCCAAGAAGCTTGACGGACCTAGCAACAGTAACTAAGTGGGCGTGGCTTTGCGATTTGTCGATTGTATTTAAATAAAGTTAAAAAAAAAAACACCAGCGAAACATTCCGGAAAGTTAAACATAAATGCCCTTTAGAATGTGGAGTCTCTAAATATGAGCTGAGGAACTGAAATTAGTGATATCAACTGGATACAATTACTGTGAAGAAGACACTTTAGAGGGAGTTAACATTTCTACAACCTTAACATTTGGTACGATTTGATGGAGGAGGAAGAGGAGAAAAAAGTCCAGGAGGTGGTTTATACCAAGGTCCCACAGCCTCACAGAGAAAATACTTACTGTCTGTCTTATCAGAGACACCCACTGAGAAAGGGCAGATATGATTACAAAGACCAGATCCAGGAGTTACAAGAAAGGCTGAAGGAGGATAGAAGGGCCATGTTCAGGAGTGAACAAGAGGTCTGAGAGGTGTTTCAGAAGAACTGAAACACCTGAATCCTTCTTGTGAATTATCAAAGGACTCCTCAGAGTACAAATACAAGACAAAGGAGGAGCTGATTGGTGTCATATCAGCTCTAAACCAAAAGCTCCACAAAGCTAAAGATGATCTGAAGATGGCTGACACATTGAGTAAAGAGAAAGAGGCTCTGGCCTGCAAATTACACAGCAGCAACCTGGAGCTGTCTTCCTCTTAAAAAAGACAGGAGGAAGAAATTCAGAGGCTCCAGGAGGAGGTCACAGAGCTTAAAACTGAAAAGGACCACCAAATGGGGAAGGCTGACAACCTCAAAAATCAGCTAGAACTAGAGGAAGTCAGTCAGAAGTTTTTGGAGGCCTACAATGAAGGCCTAATGAAATGTCTGAGTGAAGAGAGATTCTCTAAAGAGAGAGCTGGAGATCCTGAAAGAAGCATCCTTGAACAGGCAAAGGTCAGACAAAGGAACCAACACAGAGCCCTTCCTATCAGCTGGTGAGGAGGATGCTGCAGAAACGATCCAGACTGCAGAAGACAAGATATCGACATGGAGGAGATTTAAGAAATTCATAACTCTAAAACATCGCTGCCAGTTCAAGCAGCAAAGAAGGCTCAATATGGACCAACCACCCTAACCAACCTATCCTCCCCAACTAACCCATCCACCTCAACCTACCTATCAACCTTAACCACCCTCGCCAACCCTTCACCACCCCTCACCCCTCCCCCCACCCCACCCCCCTTCCTCTCCCAGAGACACCACCTTACCGTGGTGGAGAGATTTGTGTATCCCAATGATCCCAGGAGCTAAGTTGTCAGGGGCTCTATGCCTCTTTCAGGGTCACCCATGGCAAACAGGTCCTGAGAGAGGGATCAGACTAAGAGTAGCTCAAATAGACTCCTTATGACAAGTTTGATAATTGGTGTTTCCCTCGCCCAGACACAGGTTACAGGAATTGAGTAAACTGATAAAATTATATTTTCCTTTTCTGGTTGAATTCCTGTGGAACAAAGTGATATATTTTCATACTGTTATTTGTTTGTTTTTTTGTACTATGGTGTTTTTGAGTCAAATACTGTGTTTTCAAAGTGTGTTTTAATAGGATAAAGTTAAAGCTTCTACATGTATGAAAGTTTGGGACAAATCAAAGTACAGGATTTATCACTGAGAGTTTTAAGAGATTAATTATTGTCCATTGAGCTACAATAAGTAGAAATGTAATAAACTTATCTAATATGTGCAAACGAGGAAAAAAGGGAGATGGATTTCAGACAGCACAAGGACCATTTGGGTCAAGTGCTGGTATAAACATATATCTAGACAAAAACTAGCGTGGCCAACTCTGCTGCATTTCTTCTGCTTAAAATACTTGATACAGATCGATACAGCAAAATATCAGAGTCAGCCAAACTATTGCAAGTTGTCTCCTCTTCCATATCACCATTAGATTCTGGGAAAACATTTTTGCAGTTTGTAATAAGGCTAGTGTGCAAAACAAATGGAGGCAGAGATTGGCAATCCAAGCAGAAACAGCCTCCAGTCCTGGGATGCCAAGAGCTCAAATAACTGTTAAAGAGTAGATACATTTAAAACATTAACACAGCATTCACAATGGCCTCCTTTAGGACGTTAGATCACGTACAGTAAATATACACTGTGAGTATAATCCTCTTTGGCTTATAGGTCATTAATGAGAGTAAAAAATGTAAGAGAGTGAAAAATCTCACCCTGTCAGGATTCTACTTTGTATTGTTTACTTTATATGATCTCTGACATATTAGGACTTGTCCTTGATTGCCCTGTTTTACCTTTGAAGGTCATTAACAGGTGTCAGTGTTGATCTGAGTCTGTTTAACAGGAGGTTGAATACAAACACTTTCTTTACCCTTTATAGACCTTGAAACTCTTGCAGAAATGGTTACCAGGGTTGCCAGCCTCTGTAAACATTGCTCACATGAAAGCCAACCGATCATGAAACTGCCATGACTTAAAATAATGTGACTGATAATGACTTATTCAGTCAGCTAATGAAAGTGCAGACAATGCAGAAAGACAAAACAAAACAGAGGCTGCAATCAGCGATGAACTGGCACTTGTGTCTCTGTGCATGTCAGGATCCTGTGCACATCAGGAGGGGGCAAGTGTTGGGCTGCTGTAAAGGCTGTTTAGTGTGTAGACATGATGTAAAAGCACATCTTTTTCAGGGAAGCATACAATACACACTGCCCCCACCTGCAAGCTCTGACCATAGGGTTTAAGATACTGTCTCATTGAGTGATGAATTCAAGCCAAGACACAGGATATAAACAGAATTCTGCTGCTGCAGTGAAAGTTTGAAACAACTTGAGTCATCTGACTGAAAAATCTACAGTTTGGTCAGAATTCAAAGTCAAAGAGCAACCCTAATATTTCATCCTGACTCTCCATACCTGGGATTCTCCACAGGGTAAACATCTCCAGGGTCAGATGATCATTTTCCATCCTGTTTCCATCACACAAAAAATATCAGTTGTTTAGTACATTCTCACACCACATTCTCTATAGAATGAAGCATTTGTTAAAAAAGAGGAGAAACTCTGCTGATATGCCTTTGAGAAGTTAACCCTTTTAACCCTAAATGACACTGTTTCTGCCTGGATTATTTTGCTTACTTTAGCCGTAAAATTGGCAGAAAATGTCCTATGAGTGAGTGCTGTCTTCAGTCTGGAGTAGATGTCTTCAGTCTGCAGCAGTGACTCAGGCTCTTATCGCTGCCAAAGTCCTTAAAAAATGGAAGTGGATCCACTGAGAGTTTGTGTTTTTGGCTCTGATTGTTGTTTTTTTGCCCTCACCCTCTCACTCTGTCCCTCTGTTTTAGGTTCTCCGTCACCCACTACTCTCTGCCCGTCTCCAGCTGTGCCGGCCCTCCCTCTACCTTCCCGTGTGGTGGGAGTCTGGTAAACACGACCGGGACCTCCTCATTGGAGCAGCACGCCACGGCTTGAGCCGGACAGACTTTTACATCCTGAACGACCCCCAGCTGAGCTTCCTGGAGGCTCACAGGAACTATGTCAGGGGTCACCCCACCCACCTTCACGCTCAGAGTCATCATCATCTGCACCACCCAGGGTTAACGACTCATCCCAGCATCTCGTCTTCATCAGCGTCCTCCTCGTCTCACCCTCAGCTGCCTCACCCTCACTGCTGCCTCTACGACTCCAGTTTGGGTCAACACTCCCCTCAACCTCCTGAATACCCCCACCAGTCCTCCCATCCCCACCACCACCAGCACCACCATGTTCCTCCGTCTACTCCCTCTCCTTCCTCCATCTCCTCCTCTCACCCTCACCTTCACCCTCCACCTCCTGCCTCACCCAGCCTGGGTATAGTCACTGGTCCTCGGGGGGATTTCCTGGACTGTGCCCCTCTAGATGAGACTCTGGAGCTGGGTTCTCTGCACCATGACTCCCTGTCTGCAGACAGTTTACACGGAGGGAAAACAGCCAAAGACGCCCTCAACGGTTTCCCCTTTAACTCAGCTGCTGGAGGTCAGAGTATGCTCAACTCATACGGAGTAGGGGGAGCTGACCTGGACTCCAAACTGAGGAGTGACGTTCTGGTTGGGGAGCAGGGATCCTCTGAGGAAACAGGGCTGATGGCGCCATTGGTGGAGCTGGACCAGTTGCAGGTAAATACTGTGATTTGGATGTATTTAAGTCAGAACTACCCGAGTAAAAAAAATATTACTCAAGTGAGGTTTGACAGTACGGTACTATTTTGGGAGCTCCCTACTCTTCTGTGGAAGGTAATTGTTTGGATCCCTGCAGGCTCCCTGGGACAGCACAGACCACTCCAGTCCAGCCAACCACATGTTCAATGAATCTGATCCCATCCTTGGTCCTTCTACTCTGGAGGCCGGTTTCCTTGAGGAGGAAGATGAGGAGGCGCAGGGAGGAGACAGAGGAGGGGAGGAAGGTGGGACTTTGGAGGAGTGTCTAGGCCTCCCTCCTTCCACCTCTCCCTCTCATCCGTCTGCAGGAGACTCTGTGGAGCCGCTGAGCTCCAGCTACATGCTTTTTAAGGTGGGTTTATGTTGCCTCTGCCATGAGATGGACTGACAGTGGCTCACAGCGCGGCTGTGAGGTTTTCACATCCAGTCTGAAACTTGGAGTGATGAATTTGTTCCTGTTTGATGATTTCAGGACATCAGTGTGAGCGAGGAACCCAGTGCAGATCAAACCGACCTGTCAGCAAGCCCCCCTCCACCCTACGTTCCCCCTCCTCCTCTTTCTCTGTCCGACATCACCGCCCACGATCCACAGGATAGGCTGGACGCCTCTGATGTCACTGAGAGTCTGACTAATCCTGTGGAGGAAGAGGAGTGCCAGGAGGGAGGCACCGGCTTTGAGTTTGACGACAAGGAGGAGGAAAATATGGAGGATCTGCAGCCAGAGAGTGAGCAGCGGGAGAAAGATCGGAGTCTGGATGGAGAGGAGGGCGAGGATCAAGGTGGGTGAAAATCACAGAGAATTCATGTGTTTTCTTTCCTGATCCAAATTCCTCTGAGCATCTCTGTGTTTTACTCTCTCAGGTGCTGGTCCAGGTCTGGGAGTCCTGAATCCTCCCATGGATTTACCTCAGATGGATGGGATTGAAGCAGAGCAGGACCGAGAAGAGCAGGAGGAGAGGATGGAGGTCTCAAGTCAACTGTCTCAAGACCTCCAGGAGAACTTTGAGCACAAAGAGAGTTTACCACAGAGCATGCAGCCGTTTCTCGGAAAGCTGGATGCATGTCCTGGGTCTATTGAAGTTCCCGGAGAGAGGGTCGATGGGCTGATTTTGGATCCAACAGTGGCAGAAGAGACGATGGAAAACTCTCTGGACTCTGAAACATTAATGGGTGACACAATGGGAGAGTTTGTGCAAGATCCAGAGATTCCCAGAGAGGGTGGTCCCATGGTTTGTGCAGAGCTTGCAGATCAGGTGGATGAGATCTCTGAAGGGCAGATGGACCATGTCTCTCTTGTGCATGCTCCTCCATGTGAGGAAGCGATTGTAAAACAACTTGAAGTCAAACCAAATGACGGGGAGAAGGAGGGCATTTACTCAGAGTACGCACCAGCTCCCTGTACCTCTGTGTCAGCCTCTTCAGCAGCATCGAAGTCTGAGGACATCTCCTCCAAGAGAGCAGCTGAAATCAAGACTGCAATCTCCACAGATCAGGGGAACTACGAAGGCCCAGCTGAAGATCTGAACTTTAAAGACTGTAAAAACAGAAACCTGATGTTCTCTGAGGAGCAGGACAGCAAGGACAATCTGCAAATCAAAGTTCCCCCTGATATCTCTGCAGGCCTGGATGAAAAACCTCCTGATCTTCAGTTTTCTCTGTTACCAGACCAGGTCAGTGAGAAAAAACCAGAGGGGCTGGAGCTGCCTATCAAGGTGGAGGAAACCAAGATGGAGATGTTTGAGGAAGTCTACCCCGACAGCTCTGAAGTCAAACATGAACTTTCCTACCCGGTGAAGTCAGAGGACCCAGTGACCAAATCTGAGCAGGTGGACTTTCCTGTCAAAGCAGAAACCAAATCTGAAGACCTCAACCTTCCCTTAAAGCCTGAGAGCGAGGACAACAAACCTGAAGTCCTCCAGTTTGCAGCATTTCCAGAGGTCAAATCTGAGGCCAAACCAATCATACTTGGATTTGCAACATTTCCAGATGGGTCCAAACTCAAGACGGAGACTAAACCAGAGAGCCTGGAGTTTCCAACATATCCAGACAGCTCTGAGATCAAACCTGAGGTCAAACCAGACAATCTGGAGTTCAGACCTTTACCTGAGATCAAGTCTGAGACCAAACAGGAGCTGCTGGAGGCCGACAGCACAGTCCTGACCCCGAAACTGGAGCCAGCAGACGGGCTGGTGGATGCCTCAGGGAATCTGATGGTGAAGGGACAGGTGAAGGAGGAGAGGCCGACCACACCAGGTAAGAATGTTTCCAAGTCTGGTAATCATCTTCAGCTTAAAGCACCCAATGAAACCTCCAACTCTTGTTTTAAACTATATAATGACATGAAAATCAGCGTCCTGGGACTCACTCGGACCCCAAACACTCCAAGGGGGCTCAGTTTCTGGAAGTCTGAAAGCAAAATATTGTTTCATTCTTGGTTGGATTTAAGTTGTAGAGAAGAGATAGTTTTGGGGTCTCCTCTGGTGTGTTTTCATTATGCACCAAATATTTTTAATGGGGGGCAGATCAGGACACTTCTACTATAGAGCCACACTGTCTTGTTACCCGCAGACAGGTTCAGTCATGCAGGATGGCCCAGGTCCAAATGCGACCTGAGGCTCTTTGCTCTGATTTTTCCTCACTTCCAGTTCCCCACTCTATCTACCATCCCATCTCGTTATTTTATATGGTGGTTATGGTGGTCCTCTCTTCCTCAGTACCCGTGTCGGAGAGTTACGTGGTAAGTCCGAGGTTTGCGGCCCCGATATCCATGTGTGAGATCTCTGACAGCCTCCATGACAGCAGAGAGCCGACAATCGCCCAGCTTCTGCAGGAGAAAGCTCTCTACTCCTTCTCTGAGTGGCCAAAGGTACACTAGAGTTATTTCTATGAAAATGTAGAGCGATGTGTGTTTTACACTTGATTATCAAAACGGTTATCAAGTTAGAAGACCGTGTGATTTTGTGAGCGTGGAGACATTAGATGTTCATTTTTAAGATGATCCAATTAAATTCTCTGTTTTCTGCTTTTGTATCACAGCCATCATCTATGTCATCATATCATGGATTCAGACGGTGACTGTTATTTTGTTTCATGTAGGACCGTGTCATCATAAACCGCCTAGACAGCATCTGTCACGCCATCCTGAAAGGAAAGTGGCCTTCATCTAGCGAGCAGTATGACGCCCCCACCCACCTCTCTGCTAACTCCTGCCTGGCCAACAGTTTATCACAACAGCAGCAGCAGCACAGAGCTGCTTTCCTCTCCACAACAGCCTCCAGCTCTGTCCCAGGACAGTCCAGGGTGCAGCAGGCCAGTCCTGGTCTGGGGTTCTCAATCCCGCCTCCCCTCACAAGACTCCCCAAGGTGAGAATATCTCTCTTACCTGACGACTGAACTTCCTGTGTTTCAAATATCTATGCATCTGTCATCTGTCCACATGTATCTTCTCTCGATCACACCATGGTTCATACAAGAGGTGTCGGCCAGTCCAGCAACAGCAGCAGGACTCTCACTGATGTGAAACACACAAACTGGTTTGGCAGTCTCTCTCATGTCATGGTTATTCTTGTGAAAATCTTTACCCTTTATATTTCACCACAAAATAAAAATACAACAACCAAAGCAAACCTGAAATCTTGGTTTCAGGTGGCTCAGGACACCTCTGGTCTACCATCGCTCTGTTGAGTTTTCTGTCTCTAGACTGTGAACTGTTATACTTACATGTTAATAACAGACTAGGGCTGTCACAGTAAACAATACTAACAATAAACATCTTTGAAAATGAATGAATCATTGATCACCTGTTGAAAATAAGTCTATGTCTACTCTGTGTGCTGGCTGCCAAAGAAGAATCTTACCACAACAAGCGGTCAAACCCTAAAAAATGGCTCATTTATACTTTCTAGTTGTATTCGTCCCTGTTTTCATTCGGCTGTATTAATTACAATCTACTGAAAGTGCTTAATTTCAAAATAAAAGCATATATATTCACTTTCTTTGTCCAGACAAATGACAAGGTAAAAATGTGATATTCAGGCAGCTTTAAAAATCTGTCTGAATTTCTCATCACAGTTTGGGAGTTTAGAGACTGTCGAGCATCTGTGAACTATTTGATATTCATCTTTCATACCAGGGAATAGAGAGTAATTATGAGGGCTGATTGTTTTTCTCTGAGGATGTTGCTCCTAAAACATTTGGCTGCAGAAGGACCGACAGATCTAAACTTCTTATATCACTTTATATTTGACTGTAACAGGGAGACAAACCGTCTCACAGTCAATACTGTCTGTATTGTAAAAACATGCTTTTATTTTGAAATAGCGTAGGTGTTGCTGCTGGTAGTTTCAGAGTCACTGAACTGAATGAAAACAGCAAAAGAAAACCTAGAAGAGAGAAAAATTTTAGAATATAAGTTAAAAAAGTGACAACCATTTTTTAAAGGGATGCTATAGCTAGCTGTTGCTGCTTCTTCATCTTATTTTTAGTTTACAGCAGATGGTGAGGAACAACTACCGCCCCCTCATGTCAACCAAAGAGTCAGACCATATTTAAAGGAAAAATAATGTGCACATTTCATCCTTGAAAAAGATGTATATTGTCGGTATAGTTTTTTGTAACAGCCCTACCACCTATGTCATAGTTTGAGACGTTCTGATTGGTTGTTGAGCTTGTGTTTTCCTGGTGTTCGGACGTCTGTGTGTGTTGTGTCTCAGTCCATATGTGTGTTTAACAATCCACCATCTCTCTCCCATTCCTGTCTACCCATCACCCACCCTGTCCACCCTGACAGTACATGCCACGGGGCGGGGCATGCGGGCGCGGAGCTTGGCGCCTCACCTCCTTGCCTCTCTTACAGGAGAGGCTGGTGGCCCCGCCCTACCTCCCCGAGCTCAAACGAGCCGGAGGGCGGAGGTCATTCGACTATGAAGCTGCAGCTGCAGCAGCTGCAGCCAAAGTCCTAGCAGGGAAACCAGCACCTTCTGCCACCACCACCAGCTCGAGTGGTGTCGCTCCTGTGGTGGCCCCGCCCTCTCACCGCACGAGCGCCATGTTGATTAATGGTTGGCAGGAAACAGCCATTGATCTGACCAAGTCCTCCGGAGAAATCAGCACCACAAGCGGGGCGGGAGAAGCTGTGGTTGCTCCAGGAGGAGGTCATAAGCTGCCTCCACCGCCCCCAATCACCGCCCCACTTTCAGGATCTGTGGGCATCGACATGGCGGGGATCCTGCAGGCGGGGCTTATCCACCCTGTGACAGGACAGATCGTCAACGGGAGCCTGAGAGGAGATGACTCTCTGAGGAGGAGGAGGGGCAGGAGGAGAAATGTGGAGGCTCTGTACTCTGAGTTCACCAAGAACAGAGGACTACACCTCCCCGACTCACAGGTGGGTGGAGGAAGGTGTGAGACTGTTGTATGTGACCACACCCAGTGCATTGTGGGTGATGAAAACAGACCAGAGATCCTTGTAGAGGTTAAAGAATCTGTCTGTGTGTGTGTGTCTTCCTCCCTGCAGGGCCGTGTGGAGGTGATCAGCCACTCCTCCGTCTCCTCCTCCACCTCCTCGCCGTCACCCTCTCCTTCAGAGCGACCTGCTGGACCCCCAACGCCGTCCTCCTCTTCTACACCTACCCCCACCCAGACGCCTCCTCAGCCGGAGATCGTGGCCATCGACAGAGAGGCGGCGAGCAAAGGTCTGATCGAGTGGCTGAGACAGAACCCGGGGTACAGCATGGACATCCCTACCTTCTCTCACGTGAGGATGCTGATTGGCTGTTTTGAAAAGAGGAGCCTTCATCCCGCTTTCACTATGATCTATAGATTTTGTTCACATAGATTTTTACTCTCTAAGGTCTGTTTTAGCACCGCAAGTTCACCCTTGATCTCCCTTTCTTTAGTCTGGTGCCAGTGTGTTACATGGTTTCGTAGAGCGTCCGAAGCAGAGGAGGCATCGCTGTAAAGACCCGACCAAGCTGGACATCAACACCCTGACCGGGGAGGAGAGGGTTCCTGTCGTGCACAGAGGCACAGGACGCAGGGTGAGAAATGCTCACAGCTCTTAGTTGAAATAAATCAGTTTTGATAACAATGGATCTCAGTCGGCACAGGCTGCTGTTAAATCACGGGTTTCTTTGCCTGCAGCTTGGAGGTGCGATGGCTCCGGCCATAAAAGAACTCTCCAGGTGGCTCGATGCAAACGCTGAGTACTTTGTGGCTCCAGACTGGGCTGATGTGGTCAAAACCTCTGTGAGTGGAATCTACAAAAAACTGCGTCTTCAAGTTTTTTAAATTCCTGATCAAGAAAAATATATTTCCTGTTTCATAATAATCCCTTAACTCATGACTCTAAATTCGCTTTAAACTCCTGACCTTTGACACCTGTGCTCTCCTTCTCTTCCTGCAGGGTTTCCTTCCTGAGGGGAAGTTCTCTCGGATCTTAACAGAACCAGTAAACAGAGATCCAAGCTCTCGGCGCCGTGGGCGGCGGCCTCGCAGTGAGATGCCTAAGCCCCTCCTCTCTGTCTCAGACCCCGCCTCCTCTGCCCTGGGCCCCCCCCTCTTTATGAATGGGGGCTTAATCGGCAGCATGGACTCCATGGTAGCCATGCAGAACCTCAGAGGCGGGATTCCTGGAATCCCTATCTCTGGGATTATGGCGGCTGGATTCCCTCACAGTTTCCCTGCAGCCGTGCAGGCAGGCGGAGCTACGGCGTCAGCGGAGGACGCCAAGAACGGGCTCAGTATGTTACCCATGATGCTTCACGGCATCCCGCACCCCCATGGGGCTGCAATCCCACAGCATGCCTTGTTTAGCGTCAGTGCAATGATGGCACACGCACCACCACCTCCTCCTCACCCCAGCTCCACCACCTCCTCCTCTTCCTCCTCCTCATCTTCTTCCTCTTCTTCTTCAACATTGCCCACAGCAAAGGTTACCACGACAACCACATCATCTACATCCGAGGCAGCGAGCCCCTCATCGACAACACCCGCCGAGAGGGAGAGCTCCACCTCCTCCAGCTCTGCTGGGGGAGAAAAGGAGCGAAGCCGGGAGGAGAAAGGAGCAACAGACACGAGCAAGAGAGCCGGAGGGACAGAGCCTGCGGCCATCATCACCTCCACCAGCAGGGCGCAGTTCACCTCTGCTCACCTGGGAGGCGGAGGCGGCAGCCATCTTACCTTCAACCCATTCTTGATCCCCAGCATGTCTCACGGCCTGCTGTACCCCCACATGTTCCTGCCACATGGGGGCATCATGGCGCTCCCTGCCATGCCCCCCGGGGCAGTGGACAGCTCCCCAGGGAGCCCCAAGAGAAGAAGGAAGAGAGGGCGGGAGGAAGGGGAGAGAGAGGAGGAGAGGGAGAAACCAGAGAGAGAAAGTACAGTTAAAATGAGTGTTTCCTCCTCGTCCCCCTCCCTCCCCTCCACCTCTGGCCTCCCCCCAACTGAGGAGCCCCTCGCTGGGCAGGGGGATGCTGAAGAGGGGTCTGCAGAGCCCCAGGAACCAGACTCCCATCAGCATCCGGAGGGAGCACCTACAGAGGAGAAGGAGGGGGGATCAGGGGACACAGAAGGGGAGGTGACGGGGGAGGAGAAGCAGGACACTGAGGAGCAAAGACAAGAGGAAGGAGGAGAGGCGTAGAGGAGGAGAACCTGCTCCCCCTGCACCTCCTCTTCCTTCTCCTCCTCCACTGAGCAACCGTGTAAAGTTTGTGCCGTGTCTGTCAGTCAATGTTCATGTAAAGACTTTTATGATGACGATGATGACTCATAATAACGATGATGATGATTATATTCAACTCTGTTTTGTTTATATACAAAGACCCTGCCCACTCCTAGCCCAGCCTCCTCCTCCTCCTCTTTTTTCTTGTATACAAACAACTAGTGTAAGAAATCTTCAGTGTACTCTTCCCCTTCATTCTGCATCCAGACTGAGACAGAGGGATGCGCTCACACAGTCACAGACACACACTTCAGAGGAGACGGGAGCAGCTGAGGAGGTGGGAGGGAGGTGGTTTTAGGTTCGGCTGCAAGAAGGAGATGAGAAGACAGAGTTTTGGTGATCCTTAAAATCCGTCTGAATTTCTCTCCACAGTTTGGGAATTCAGAGAAGCTCCTGTCTTTATGTTCACCTTTCTTTTTATTCTGACTCCCAGCACACTCCACTTCAGCTGAGTTTAAGTGTACTGGATCCAAGTCTATACCAGCTTCCCCACATACCTGCAACACTAAAACTATGGTTATAAAAACATGTCTGATCCAGATCTCAGTCTGAAATACTTTAAAATGTGTCGAGAACACAGTATGCATTTAACAAAGCTGCAGAAACAGACATTTATAATGAAAACTCCCCCCCGACACACCTTTTCTTTTTGCTCTGTCGTCACGTTTCACTCCAGATCTTCACTCCCAGCTCTCACTCTCCGCTTGTTTCGGTTAAATAAAGCAGAGAACAATCATGAAATTATTTCCTTTTATCAGTTTTTAGTTCATTGGAGATTGTTTAAAAACTTTAACACAGAGTCACTTTGAGAGATCGGGCAGAGGAAATAACTTCCAAGTAAGAGCACCTTCAGGCCACCAGGGGGCAGCAGGAGGCAGACGAGATTGTAACGTATAAACTCTTGAGGCAGAAGGACAAGAGTGTAGTTTTTTTTCTGTCCTCATTCCTGAATCTGACTCCCAGTTTAAGATCATTTACAACAAACTAACAAGAGCTGTTTGCAATCATGACCTGTAGCAACAATGTCGGTCCTTAGAAATCTCTGAAAGGGAATTATGTGTTCTTTAGGAGGAGAAGAGCAGATGAAAATAGGAAGAGGAGGGAAACAAAGCAGTGTGTATCGTTACTCTTTGTCTCATTTTTTTCTCACTTCAGTTTTAAAGCAGTTCTTACTAAGAGTTTCTAAATATGTAAATCTATCGCTGTATATTGCTGTTTTTTAAAAGTGCACCATTTATTTCTTTCACCTCTTCTGTTTGTTTGTTTGTTTGTTTGGGAAAAAAAAATACTTGACAGAAGCGAGGAAGGGTGTTCACAGTGAGTCCCGGTGTCTTGTGTATCAGATGGACTGCAGGTCTCTGCAGAACAGGGTCTGTTTTCGGGGGTCACGTCAGATGTTGGACTTCACTTTTGTTTTGTTTTCATACCTGAAAACATGATTTTTTGCACAGTGTCTTTTTGTGAACCTGTTTCCGTACTGTCCAGTGTGTATGAGTGAGTGATGGAGGGAGTGTGTGTGTGAGTGTGTGTGCATGCATGAGCACACGTTTTGTTCGTCGTCGTGGAGACGTCTTTCTACTCCTGTCTCGTCCCTACAGGTCACATTTCTTGTTGAGGAAAAGAAAAAACATTGTTGTTGCCTTGTCACAGGTTTGTGGCTACATATAATTTATTCTACTTTTCCTTTTGCTTTGCCAAACTCTCACCAAATATGACATTCATTTTCTTTTCATTTCATCATCCTGTATTATTCAAAGTCAATGCCTTATTTAGCGAGTATTTCTTTGTAAAGATGTTCTGTTACATCTCCATATAGGGTCATGTTATTGTTACTGTGTGTTCAGTTTGCTTGTATGCGTACACGGCCTTGTCAGAGCGCTTTATCCTCGTGGTAATGAGAAGGTACCGCTGTCTAAGTCACGATGTTTTAACCCTTAAAAAATCAATCAGTCACCCCTCTAAGCACAAATGGAGAGTAACGACAAGTTTTCAGCAGTGCCTCTAAAACCACACTCAAAGTTTCTCTCTGAAGGCTTCACTTCTGCACTATGTGGACATAACTTTTCAATAGCAACATCATCCTTGGAGAAAACCGTGAACATTTGGAAATGTAATTCCAATTCGCAGACAATGTCACGCTGTGCGTTAAAGGGGAATTCTGAATTTTTTTTCACAAACCAGAATCTTTATCATTGTGTAGTTTTGGAGAACTCGAGCAACTCAAGAAAGCAGTAGGAATAAAGTACACTAAATGAAAGTGAAAATGTGAAAAATGGTCTTTAATTCCCCAGGATTAAGACCCCAGTTCCATTTGAGTCTGGACTCTGTGTAAAATTTCGATAAATACAGATATTTGATGGTTTGGAAATAGTGCAAAAACAGAAATGAGAAGTTGAAACAGAAAAAAACAGTATATGTTTAAAGACAGTGTTTCAGGTGGGACAGCCGCACGGTTACCACGGTTACCTCCTTCTGCAGTACTCTGTGTTGTTGCAACTCAGAGGTCCAGAGAAGTCTCTGCTGGTTCTGGATCATGTCTCTATCGGTTTAGAGTTTTAACCTGCATTTGTGTTCACAAACAGCAGTTTGTGGATTTGATTTTGTGCTCATGCGGTGACTTCCACTACAGAGTCCTGTCCATTTTAATGCAGAGTTGCTGACCATTCTCTGTTTTGGTCCTGGTTCCTTTAGCACAATGATTTCTCCACAGTCTCTGAATCTTTTGATGCTATTATGTACTGTAGATGATGAACTGAAGTGAACTGTTAGCTCACGCAGTCTCTCACTCAATCTCTCTAAATGCCTATTTTTAATACCCAGTCGTGTTACTCGCTTGTTACAAGTTAATGTTATTAGTTGGAAAAGTGTTCCTCCATGTTTTCCACAACTTTTTGAGTGTTTTTTTAATCCCTTTCTGAACTTTTTTAATGCATCACCACCATTTTATTTAAAACAAGCATATTTATTTTCATAGAATTAAAAAACATACTTCAGTTTTGATATTTTAATGTTTTCTTTGCACTGTTTTTGATTGAATAAAGGGTTTAAATGATTTGCAGACCATCAATGTTGAATCGTCAGATTAGTTTGCTGCTCTGATATTCAGATGAGCTTCATAAAACACCAGAATTCCCCTTTAATGGCTGACATTTAACCCCACATCACTCTCTTTATGCACGAGGCCTTCTGTTTGCAATCCAGAACCAGATCTGGGTTAATGAGGCGCACACGTGGTTTGTGTCCATTTTTCGTGTCGGTCAAAAGAACAGCATCCCTAAATTCGAAGCCGGTTGTTTTCGTGCCCCAGCTTCCCAAGTCAAATCCCTCATCACATCTCGTTACTGACTCATTCTCGTGTGAAAAAAACTTGAAACAAATTGGTAGGTGCAGTATATGAGGTGACTGCAGGTCTGTTCATGTCACACCATGCCATCTTTAACAGTGTTTAGTCTCTTCATTTAAGTCCTTTTGGTTCACGTCAATGTTCTTCTAAACGTCACCTCAACATGTTGTAAACGTTTGATCTCTTATCATGAATAATGTATTTATTGTACAGTTCTCGTCTTTACATGACTGACTTTTGTTATTCTTGAAAGTCTCATGAAAGCATTTTGGTTCACATGGAAGTCTCTCTGCTTTTCTTTATTGACTCTCTCACTTTTGTATCCTCAAGGATGATTTAACGGAAAGTTTCCCAGCACCTGCTTTTATGATCTCCAATGATTAGGCAAAACCGTGCTTTGTGTACTGAATGAAGGTTTTCCAGGGTCCAGGATGCAGCTTTACATGGAGGCCACATTTGTGAAATTCCGTGGAAAAACGTTCCCATTTGTGGGTGAACTGCCCAGATTCAGAAACTCCAATCTCAGCTGTAGTTGAAACAGTTAAAAGTCCTTTAAGTGATTTTCTAACATGCTAAATCAGAGACCAGATGTCGCAGCCTGTTCAGTTCTACTGAAGCTACTTCATTGCTCCAAAGGGAACAAAATCCAATTCAATACTCATGTTTATATTTTAATTCGAATACATTGGTTTAATAACTGGTCATCACTTATCTAAATCTCTGGTTGGAAAATCTCAGTCCTGATGAAGAGGCTTTAAAAGGTCTTTTTGAAGTATTATTGGGCAATAATAATTGTATCTACCACAGGGGGTCTATGTCAGCTGGGCTCCTTAGTTCAGAGCTGTCGGAGAGGCCAATTTAAGAAACTCCATCCCGAACATCTCAGTGTGAGTCTGTGCTTCATGTGGAAATATTTCAGAGCTGTTCTTAGCCGTCAGAGGGAGAAAGAGAGTTTACATTGGTAAAACAGCGTTCAGGATTCAGTGAGGCAGACCGCCTCGCTGTATCCTCTGATTGTCATGAGTTCACTGTTTCCACACCTGCACCACCAGGTAACACAGACCCCACTTTCTAAACCCCAAATTCCATCACATCCACATTCAGTCTATCTCTGCTTCACCATGGCAACAGAGTTGACGGGTTTGCAGACATGCACGGCCCCTAAATTTGCTGAGTGAGGGGAATGGGACCTGGAACCAACAGGTTAGAGGTTTTCACACCTCATTAAACCATCTTTTCTGTATTTAATGCAGGAAATCTTAGGTGCAACCCCCTTATAGACCCAAAACAAAGTAAGTCAAAATGAGGCGCGTTTAAAATATTCAACCACAGCGACACTTGCAGTGGCATTGGCGTTTTGTTCAGGGTTTCTGTAGCAGCTGGATCTCCTGTGGCTAGCACACCAAAAATTCACACCTAAACCTTTAAACAAAGCAAAGTTGTCTCTGAGCGTGACACCGGACCTGTTGAAGTCGAGGTAGATTTTGGATTGAAATGGGAAAAAAAGTTGGAAGAAAAAATAAAATAAATTTTCCATTTCTCTTAAACACTTGCTGGTTTCTGGTAGTGGAGGCGCGTATTTACTTATTATTGTAATTAGTATTATAATCTGCATTTCTGTAAAATTCTTGTTTCCGTCTTTCTGCAGAAAAGTTTCCAGCACAATATTAGCGTGTCACAGCGGCTGCCTTACAGACATCAAAAACATGATCGTGCTACCATAACATTTGTTTTTCTGAAGGTAGCTTTAAGTTGGTTCTGTCTCTGAGGAGGATCTTTGTCTTAACTTCCTGATTCACGTCTGTGAAACTTACAAACTGGATGTTTCTGAAAATAATCCCCTCCACTTAAACTAGTGAAACAAGTTCAAAGTAAATTACAAAGCTAAAGAAAGGATCCGGTCTTTACTGAGGTGGGGTTTTTAACCGTTTCTTTTCTGTTTTTATTTGATTTTTTCTTATTTGTATCTATAGCTCTCTGTATTCCCATGTGGACCAATCTCATGAGTCAAAACATGGTATGTGTGATCTTTTATTGTGCAATAAAAGATGACTTTCAACTTTCCTCCCACGTGATTGGTTCTTTTTAAAAGGGTGTGTCACCTTGGAAAACAGAAATGGTTGTGTTGCTTAGCTCTCTGCTCAATGCATGCTGGGAAAGACCATCACAGATTTCATAGGTACTCCTATTACACTAGAAACAACCTCCAACCTGTCGAGCCAGAGCCAAAAGCTGCAGTTCCAAGAATGTCATCTAGAGGCTGTCCCCAGAAGTGAGTCGAACCCCACAGAGCCCCATGTCGAAGATGTTAGCTTTACTGCAGAAATGAACATTTTTACAGCACAGCTACAAACTACTGCGTTCATAAGTTTTAATTACTTGACATCCATTAGTTTTATTCAGGCTCCCTGCTCTTGCACATGCTTATTAAAGCCTGCAGCAGGGAGAGCTCATCTCACCTCTGTTTCAGGCGCATCCATACAAAACCAAGGCAGGGAGAGAGCAGCAGAGGACCAGAACAGAGTCAACATTGATTTTGCATTAGAATCAAATAGATGAAGTTGCATTAATGTTGTATTAAATCCCCCTTTGCTTGTTGATCCTATTTGTTTGCATGCACATGATGGCAAACTTTATTTTGTTTATGAAATGACTGTTCAGGCTCATGCCATGGTCTCCAGTTATGCAAAGGTGGTGTGCAAGTTTAGCATGTTTAGGATCTTAGTTTGCGGCCTTTATAGTGCAACATTTTTTCAGTTTTTCAGCTTTATCATCATATGTTGGTCATTTCCCATCATGCATCTGATTCTGCAACTTCAAAGAAATGTCATCCACATAAAAAGAAAAATACGATTAAATATAGATGATCTGCTGCGTTTTATCATTCACATCTACTTTTTGCTGTCTGTTAGAAAATTATCAAGTGGACTGTCCTGGTTAATCTGGCAGATTTTAAAAACTATCCCCGATAGGTTTAAATTGTTTTCAGAAAGTCCACTCATGACATCCATACAGAAGAATAACAGTGACAACAACAGTGAAGTCAGACTCAGATCAGACAGAGAGGTACTGAAGCTGCTGAGCCCTTTTGAAAAAACTTCCCCTTTAGTCAAAACCACAAAATTAATGTCTGGAATATTTTAATTTCAGATATTTGAGGATGGAGTAAAGATAAACTATGAAGAGGACACGTTTGACTTCAGCTGGGGCATCAAAATATACATTTATTGAAAAGTACATTCAGGTTGAGGATTAAACTCCATTTAGTCATAAAGATACTGATAAATACACAACTGACAGAAGAAAGCCAAATAAACCAACAGGAGATCTTGAACCAGTTCTGGGGCCTATTCTACGAAGCAAGTTCGACCTAGCAAGGTAGCCTTGGAGCTACCTCGTTCAACTTAGCGCAGTAGCCAGCGGTCTCGCTAAACGGTCTTACGACGCTGGTTAACAACCTCGTAAGTGGATCCAGCTTTGCTATGAACGCGTGCACGCATGTAAGGCGGAGCCCGCCGCATCTGACCAATCGCTAACATAGACCTGTCTGGAGCGACACAGCAGGCCAGAGAGCGAGGGATCGCGTAATGTACAAACGAGGAGCAGGAGACCATCATAAGAAAGTATGAAGAATTCAAATCTATCATAAACCTCAAAAGCAACACCATCGCCGCTGCAAAAGCACGGAAGGAATGCTGGCAGAAAATTGCCAACAGTATCAATGCGTAAGTATAGTGCGCAAAAAATCTTAGATGCCATTATCACCCTGAAATAGCACTGTTCAACAGGTGCTTTTAACATGCACCAGACATGTTTAATTCTAATTCATTTCCAAGATAAATAAATTCATTTGTTCATTTCTATTGTGTTTACATTTCAGTGTGATATGTAGGCCAAATGAGCCTTTCATAAAGGTGGTCATCCACCTTTAAGTAAGTGGGTCCGTGCAGTCCCTGAAAACTCTCGCGCGCCAGAGTGCTCCGCGGACAATGTGAGCACCTAGGTTTTTATAGGATCCTCCAAGAACGGACAAGCCATTTTTCGTGAGAGCTCATTGGTCAGTGGGCGGGGTTTTTATACTCAGTGAGTTCAATCTGAAACCTTACCTGCCCCGGAGCAGGTTAGCCGTTTAGGGTACGTTGCCATGGAGACTCGCTTCGCTAAGAAGTAAACCCGCGTCGTAGAACAGGAAACCCAGAATTTACCCTCGAAGTTACCTCGCTAAGCAGTAATCCTGCTTTGTAGAATTGGCCTCTGGAGACCCACTGTGGTTTTTAGTTTTCTCAGATCAGACCGGAGATTTATTGAATAAAGGAGGAGCACCAGCCAACACTGCGATGCATCATGGGATTTTGTGCTCCGTTAAAACATGCTGCACTTAATTTCTGCAAATCCAGACTGATTTAAGACCAGAAATCTTCATAAAAACATGCATGTGTGTGTTTACTGTTTGCATGGGGGTCACTGCAGGTTTTTTTTAATGTGTTTATTAGCTCTATTGTGGAAGCAGGAGAATGTGCAGGAAGACAATAAAACAGACTTATCCTAGAATAAGAATGAATGCAGATTTGAAGTGGTTTAAGGGATACTGTTGTTGCCACATGATCAGCTGCAGGTGAGAAAACAGATGAGTTTACCTGAGCACTTCCTGTTTTTCTGGTTGAAAACTTTCCTACTGTGTCGTCTGTTTTTACAAATCTGGGGCCTGTTCTACGAAGCAGGATTACTGCTTAGCGAGGTGAGTCTCCATGGCAACATAAGATGAACAGCTAACCTGCTCCGGGGCAGGTTAAGTTCCAGATTGAACTCACCAGTATAAAAACCCGCCCACTGACCAATGAGCTCTCTCGAAAAACGGCTTGTCCGTTCTTGGAGGATCCTATAGACCTCGGTGCTGGTATTGTCCGAGTAGCACTCCGGCGCGCAAGAGTTTACAGGGACTGCACAGACCCACTTACTTTTCCGGATGACCACCTTTATAAAAGGCTCATATGGCCGACATATCACACCAAAAATGTAAACACAATAGGAATGAACAAATGAATGAATTCATCTTGGAAATGAATGGGCATGGGCTGCATGATCACAGACAACATCTCGGTACTATTTAGTAGCAGTGCACGCCCCTTGTAATAACCCTGTAAAAACTGTTGTTCAGGACTGCTTACTTGTGCTGCCTACCTACTGTAATAACCGTTGTTCTAGCCCACATGCAACATTTTTGTTCTCATTCATGAAACGCTTAAATCTGGGACATTTTCGGGGACAGCTTTAGCCGGTGACAGATCATCCAATTCAGGGACTGTCCCCGGAAATCGGGGACATCTGGTCACCTTAGTTAAAAGCACATGTTGAACAGTGCTATTTCAGGGTGATAATGGCATCAAAGATTAATTTTCTGCCAGCATTCCTTCCGTGCTTTTGCAGCGGCAACGGTGTTGCTTTTGAGGTTTATGATAGATTTGAATTCTTCATACTCTCTCACGATCGTCTCCTGCTCCTCGTTTGTAAAGTACGCGGTCCTTCGCTCTCTGGCCTGCTCTGACGCTCCAAACTGGTCCATGTTTGCGATAGGTCAGATGCGGCGGGCTCCGCCTTACATGCGTGCACGCGCTCATAGCAAAGCTGGATCCACTTACGAGGTTGACAACCAGCGTCGTAAGACCATTTAGGGAGACCACTGGCTACCGCGCGAAGTTGAACGAGGTAGCTCCAAGGCTACCTTGCTAGGTCGAACTTGCTTCGTAGAATAGGCTCCCAGCAGTTATTATCCCCCATTAGTGGATGTCTGTGAGGAAGTTTAAGATACAAAAACCCGTTTTGTTCGGATTTCTTTTACATAGTGCAGTTTCTGTTAGTTTCCCAGCCTGTGACCCCTGTCCTTTGGAAACGTGACTATCATAGAAGCGTTACTCACGGTGTAGTCTGCGAAGTGGATGAAATCACAACACAATATAAGGGGCAGAAATCAGGCGTCTGTCATGTGGGTTAGGGTGAAAGGGACCTTGTTTAATTTTCATAAGTGTTGAAATGAATCACATTTATCCCAAACAGGCCAATTTCCTGACTCTGGCCTGATCAAACCCACCTGATAAGTTTTCCTACAATAACGATTTGAACCAGAAGAGGTCTGAGTTTGAGGATTTAAAGTTCAAACCTTATAATAGAACAAGTGCAGGTGAATGTTGTTGTTTTTAATCATACAAATCCATAAATTGACATATATAAGTGGAGACGCGGCAGAAGCAAGCACGTTATGAAACTCCCTGGAGAAAGCATCTGAACCTTGTGACTTTTTCACCCTCTCCTATATATATATATATATATATATATATATATATATATATATATATATATATATATATCCTTCAAACCTTCAAGGTTTGAAGGTTTGTCTCATAAATCCTAGTCTCAGAATTTCTTAGTCATAACCTTTTCCTGTTTGTTCATTCTGACTCAACACTTATTCTGGATCCCGTGCATGGCAGTGCATTTTATTAACATTCCTGACTGAACGCTGGGATTGAAAACATTGTGGTTTGGTCGGAGATTTCAGAGCTCCGGGTGATGTCAGCTGACTGATATTCCAACATAAGTTGGGTGTCGTCGTTGTGTCTCAGGGTGTGCTGTCCCTTCACTCTTCGATGGTGTCTGTTGTTCCGTTCCACAGGTTGCCGATGATGTTGCTGGCGAGCAGCCGTAGTCGTTTTCTCTCTCTCTTTCTTCCCAGTCCTGCTCTTGTGTTATTTCTTCTTTCTGAGAGACAAAAGCAAAGACACTGAGTACTGACTTGTCACTGTTCATACAGATCATTTTTTCTGGAGGTGAGAGCAGACATTTGTTCTCATGAGTGCAGACTAGCAGGCGTCTACCATGCAACCTCACATCTGAGAATCGAACAGCTGCTCTGCACCTTTACCTTTTCACATTGCACTTTAATACGTGTGCCTACAACGGGATATAAAAGAAGGAAAACTGGCAAACTTGTGTCAAACCTCCATCAGCTCATATTTCTTTAAAAACTTGTGGAAAATGTGCTGAGCTGCAGAGGAGTCAGAGGTGGTTGAATACTTTCCTCTAAAACTCTTAATGCAGTTCAGGTTTGGAGACTATCAAGATTTGATCCACAATAATTACTGTGAAAATGTGGGCCGAGTCTTTGGGTCTATGCAGACCCGACAAGTGTCAGTAAAATATTTGTGGTGATGTATCGCCACCTTGAGAGTAGAATCTTGGCCTCAGATATCAAGACGCAGCTTTTCTCAAATCTGTGTTCCCTTCTGCGAACATAAAGATACATCAGATTTCATGATATTTTTAAAGCCCCGGGACTTAAGGTGGACACTTCAGGGAGTTGGACCTAAATGAATAAATGTGTTGATATTTCACAAGGTATCCTGACAGATTTGATCCATAAATCTGGTCTAGCTGTCTCCTATTATTACCGTGTGGTTTTGATATCTGATGGAGACGAGAACTGCAGATTTTCTGGCCCCAGTTAAAATTTGGGATGTTATTTTATTTTTAATATACAGCACTGGGGTTGATTTATAAGATTG